TGATTTTTTGTTAATGGATGAACTTTAATTAAATTAATAATTAATTAACCAAATTATCTAACTATAAATATAAAAAAAAGAGTTTTGTATGGTATGTTGTTTTTGAGTGATTAATTATTGTGAGTATGAGTAGTGGTAGAGATTTTGCTTAATAACTTGGGTGTTTTAAGAAGAGTACAGAGTGGTTTAATTAGGATTTAAGAATAGTAGCTATAACTTCTTAAATTACATAGTAATTCACTTGTTGTGAATCAAAATAAACTTCTAATTAGTAGAGGGTTTATTTTAGTTTACATCAAAGAATCCCACTTTCTACAACTAAGATTGCTGCTTCTTGGATTGTTGGCAAGGTGGACTCTACTTTGACAAAAATCCAAACCAACATTGCCGCATTAATAGCAATACATTCTACATCATTGGCTTGAGCAATTATCTTAAAAGATTAGTAGCTCAAGACAACTTCCATCATTGTTTTTGTAGTAAAAGATTATTCTTTCTCATGCTATAATAGATCTTATAAAAATCTAGATTAATTTAAAAGACCTATATAAATTTGATTCCATGAACTATTGTTTGACTTTAAAATCTCAGCTTTACAATTATAAAATGATAGAAAAAATTAGCATAGAATCTCATCTTAGAATTATAAGCACCTTATTGGAATAGTTAGTCAACATCAATGTATCTATATATTAAGATTGTTCAATGAGACAAGTAGTGGCTCTCATTCATTACATGTACTGCTCTTGGTTTTCATCAAAAATATTAACATTGTTTGGAATTTGAAAAGAAGCAAAAGCTTGACCTAAACTCAAGCAAAGTTCATATAGAGTTCATAGGGCTTATTTCTTATTTGCAATTTTGCAACTAAATACACTCAAGCGAAGTTCACAAGGAGTTTACATGGTTCATTTAGGTGAACCAATGTTCATAATAACATGTTATGAACTTGTTATGACATCAAGAAAATGTCATAACATTAATATGACATTATAATCTAAAATCTAATGTATAATTGAATCAAATATATAATATGTAATGTTACATTAATGTCTTCATAGTATATTTTGATATATTAATATTATGACATGATAATATTAATATATATCATATAATAATATTATATTATATCATAATATTAATAATATTTATATATCATAATATTAATAATATTTATATATCATAATATTAATAATATTTATATATCATAATATTAATAATATTTATATATCATAATATATGTTATATAATTATTTTATATTATAATATATTAATATATAATATTAAATTTATAATGTATTATATATATATATATATATATATATATTAAGATTGTTCAAAGAGACAAGTAGTGGCTGTCATTCACCGCATGGATTAGTCTTTGTTTTTATCAAAAAAGTTCATATTTTGTAGAGTTTCCATAGCATTTGATAATTCATCATTGCATTTTGCAGTTAATTGAGAAGTTTCCAAGGATTCAAGTAGTAATTCTTAATGGTTGCATGGATGGATCTTCATTTTCATCAAAAAACTTTGCCTTTTTTAAAGTTCATAGGACATTCCATAGGATATTTTACAAATAATAAGGGCATTCTATAGGATGTTTTATAATTGATCAAGGCATATCACAAGAGATCATAAATTAGAAAAAATGGCTTGAAGCTTTGAGAGACACTTCGACTGACGAGCAATAATAACTTTTGATTCACATGGCCTCAGAGTCTCACTAAAATTACCTAAATAAAAAGTATTTAACAAAGATTGGATCTATCAAGCACCTAATCATTTTAGTCTCAAGGCTCACAATACATGTAGCACAATGCAATGCAAACTAAAGATAAAATAGCCAAGACAAATAGTGGTTCTCATTTGTTGCATGAATTCATCATTGCTAAAGTTTAATTGAATGTGTAATATTAGAATTTAACTCAATGTGGAGGAGTTTAGCAATATATATTATTTTTAGCATGCATGCAATGCAATTGAAGGTAAATTTTGGTCCTTGATGAAGAAGAAGGCATAATTATAGTTTTTTTATATTTTCTTAAAGTTGCACTCTACAATCGCAATAAACATCTCCCAAAAGTTTTTATTTTTTATATATTGGATATCTATGCATTATATTTGAGCTTCTGTCAAAGAACTTGTCAAAGAATTTGTGAATGAGAATATAAAACAAAGATAAGTTTATAATTTGACTTGAAAGAAAAACTTGACAGAACTTCAAAGATTTCAAAAACCATGCTCTCCATTCTTTTTAAATCATATTACCAAGCTTTGTATTGCAAAGTAAGTATATTTTTAGATATTTCAAAAGATTCAAAAATTTATATGTATTTTCATTGTATTGCATTTTAAAATTTTTATTATGATTTACATTGTAGAATATTATAAAAAAAATTATACAAAAAAAAAAAAATATATATATATATATATATATATATATAATTTTTGAAATACACAAAAATTTCATGGTGCTTTGCATTGCAGAGTAAGTGTATTAAGGTGGAATGGTTTGAATGTTGTGTGCTTTGTTATTTTGATAGTTAATTATTTAGATTTAGAAATAATATATGAACAATCAAGTGAAAGTTGATTATTGAGAGTTACTATGGCAATATATATTATTGTGGCATTGCAGAAAGTTTGGAAATTATTTGATTCTTAATTTAAGATCTTTTAATTTGAGGTATTCAAAGTAGCTTCAAGTCATATACCTTTTGTATTAATTGACTTATATGAAAAGTATAAGATTAGAGGCATTTTAAGACATTGTGTATAGAAGTAATAAGAATGATTTTTACTATTAAAAACTTAGAATTTGTCAATAGTTGGAGAAGAAAGAACCTAACAATTGAAGAGCAAAGCTTATTTTTATTTTTATTTTTGTTTTTTTTTTTCACTTCAACTTCTATGTCATCTTTGTAGAATTGATTGCAAGCTAAATGAATTCATTGTCTTATTGTAAGCAAGAAGCTATTATTCAAGAGTGGAGCAATGAAATTCATTGAAAGTGGGCCAATGCAAGAAACATCATGCAATTCATTCAATTTTGAAGGCACTTTTATTATCCTTGGTAATAACATAGTAAGGTACAATGGAATAAAGAATCATCTAAAATTGCAGCAAGGAGTTGTGATGAAGCAAGTGTTATTTTCTAGCTTGAATTCAATCAAATTTATTTGAATAGACTGCATTCATATCATCTCGATGTTACTTTCATGAAGATAAACTGATTTCCAAACTTCCACTTGTTTCTAAACTATTATGAATTATTCTTCAAGAACCATGAAATCTTAATTGTTTATTCTTGAAGTGGATTCTATGGATAAAAAGACTCTCAATATATTTTTTTATTTTATTTTTTCAATCTTTATAGTTTTATAGTTTATACTTTAATAGTATTATAGTTTTTTCAAATATCTACATAGTTTTATAATTTTATATTTATAGAATGAATTTATACAATGAAGTGATTTATTAACAATATTATAATAAATTACTTCATATCTTTTAAATTTGACTTTAATACATCTTTAAATGTCTTATTACACTTTATAATTTTTTAATGTAATGTAATTTATTTATTTTTTTAATATTTTCACAAATAGTTCCTTGAATAAAATTAACTACTTGTTTTGCATATTATGTATGACAATGGCAGAGGTTTAACCATCCTTCTTCATAGCTAAAAGCTCTATGGTAAATTTTATTTATTTCTTTTCTAAAAAAAAATTAAAAATATTCATTAGATTACAAACATGTATTTTAAAATAAATACTTTATGTGAGTCAACAACAACATAGATTCATCTAATTAATTTTTTGTAACAACATAGATTCATCTAGTTAATTTTTAATGAGGAACTTGTAGAGTATTAATAAGCCTTCGACCTAGCTCAAGTATCTTTTGTGAAATAATTTCTTGTAGAGAATGGTCGCCATCCTTTAAAGAACTAAAGAACTTACCCAAGAAGACGACATCCGCTCAAGAAACAATGAGAGCAAAGATGGTGAGCACTCCCTTGCATTTCACCATGATATAGCCTAGTTTGCAGAATTTGGAGCAAACCGACACTACCCACGACATTTATTCCCACGACATTTTGGCCGCTTCAACTCCAAAGCGCAAGACCATAATTTTTTCCCAAACCAAGGTAGCAATTTATGCCAAAAGCATGCACAGGATACCAACGTTCAAACTTCTACGGCAACAAAACTCTACACACCCAATTCTAGCATGACATCAGAGACTTCAAAAGTTGCTGCCATGTCTGTGGTAGCCCATACCACTATACAGGCAAGTGTGAGATCTGAATTCTTCAAGACAAGATTTGCAATCTTAAACTAAGCTCCGGCTCAAATCCATCACGTTGGCGCCCAAATCATCCCTTGAACCTAGTAGAATTTGAACAAAAAGCCACTAAGCAGAAGTCAATTGAAGATGCAGCCTTGATAGAAGTATTTGAAGTATGTGCAGCAGAGGTACAGAACCAACACCAATCTAAGGAATGGTTCATAGATAGTGGAGCCACAACGCTTGTCACTAGCAATTTGGATTTACTCTCCCATGTAAAAAATGCTCTTAAATCTGCCATGACCACAACAAGTAGAAATCTGCTTCTTATTACAGGAAAGGGTAGCGCAACAATTGATGCTAATAAAGCAATTGACAATGTTTATTACGTACTTGATACGGTAAAAATTCTCTTGTTCGTAGGAAATTTGTCAACTTTAGATATTACTAACTCTTTAGCCCTAGAAATTGTTGAATATTTTTGAGTTCTAATCCTCTTTGAATTATCTACACTGGCACCAGAGAACGCAGTAACAATCTTTAATGGTTGGATACTTCAATTATTGGAAAGGCACAATACACACCATCAAACCCATTAGTCAACATGGCCACCACAAAGCAAATCAAAGCAGCACATTTCTAGCACATGCGTGTAGCAGACCTTAACTTTTAGTCACCCTACAAGTTGTCTCACAGGAAAATAGTAACGGGAATACTTAACCTCCTCTTATTACAATCCAACTGTGAAGCATACATTTTTGGCAAACACCATTGATACCTTATTCCTAGAGTAAGCTTTACTCCCACCTCCAGACCACTTCAGTTAATTTATTCCGACCTCTGCGGACCACTTCTATGCTCACTTTCCGTTTCATACCATATACTAACCTTCATAGATGACTTCAGCCAACGCTCTTGGATTTATTTTTTCAACCAAAGATCTGAAACATTTGACACCTTCAAGATCTTCTATGGTTGAAAAGGAGACAGGTCGCAAGATATCATGTCTCAGGACAGACAGTGGAGGAGAATACCAATTAACCAGATTCAATCTGTATTGCAAACAAATAGGAATTAGATGGCATCTCACAATTGCCTGTACTCCTCAAGAAAACGGCATTTCAAAATATAAGAATTGCTCCTCTTCAAAACCAGACGGAGTCTCCTATTTGAATTTGATCTACCAAGCTATCTCTGGGAAGAAGTTGTCTAAACAACAAATTACATATCTAACAGAGTATCTCACTGAGCACTATATAGAATTACACCATTACAATTCTACTCTGGACAGGTACCGGATCTTTTTATCTTTGGATGTGTGGTTGCTCTGCATTCACACATATCTAAAACACAAAGATATTAAAACCAAAAGCTAGAAAAATAATCTTGGTTGGATACAATGACCAATCCAAGGCCTATAAGTATTTTGACTATACAACTAAAAAATTCATTGTCTCCAGGGATGTTTACTTTTTAGAAATCCAACTAGGAATTCCAGATCAGACACAATCCTCATCAACTAACAATGACATTCTCAAGTCCTTTTTAAATTTGAATGCTCTCTCTCCTACTTATCCAACTTCAGATCCCTCTACTGACCAATCCAATATCTTTCCCACCACTTCCTCACCTCATATTCAACCACCCTCTTTCTCCACCACAACTAACACTCTACCAAGCCTTTTAGCTCGGAGTTCAAATCCCTCAACACAACTAGCCAATTCTACAAACTTACACCCCTTACTTGACATCTTTGACCCTCTTGCACCTATTAGACGCTTCTCTTGGTTTCGTTAAGAGAATGTCAGATTAAAGGATTATATACTCACTATTACCTCGGCGAACTTTGACAAATGTCTATCTAAAATTAGCACAAATATCCAAGGGTACAACGTTGGTTTAGAAAATGCACTCACCAAACCAAAATTGACTGCAGCCACGCAAGACACTAAATTCTATAGCAAAAAATAAAACCTGAGATTTAGTCACGTTACCTCTTGGAAAAAAACCATCAGCGCATGGTAGGTGTTTAAAGTGAAACCAGGATTAAACTGACATCATCCACACCACAAAGCTCGTCTCGTAGCTAGAGATTACGAATAAAAGTTTGGCATTGACTTTGAAGAAGTTTTTGCCCCAGTAGTTAAGTGGTCCACTATCCAATCTCTAGCTGCAAAAGTAGCACACAAAGGACATCAAATTCATCACCTTAACATTGAAACAACATTCTTATATGACAATTTCAAGGAAGTATATATGAAACAACCCCAAGGTTACGCACAAACTGGTAAGGAGCACCTAGTCTGTAAACTCAACAAATTCCTCTACGGCTTGGGGCAGAGCTCACAAATGTGGCACAAACGTATTGATGCATATCTCAGGTCCCTCGAAATGACAAGGAGCAAAAGTGATCACAATCTTTACTACACATGAAACAGAGAAGGATGCGTAAATTTTCTTGTTTACGTTGATGACTTCTTTCTGACATGAGGGAACGAAGAAAAAATCCACTGGCTCAAACAGCAACTCAAACAAGAACTTGACCTGACTGATTTAAGACCCGTCACAAAGTACTTAGGAGTAGAATTTATAAAAACAAACCAAGGACTTTTTCTCACTCAGTACTGATATGCCCTTGACACACTAAAGGAATTCAGAATAGGAAACTCCAAGACTAAAAACGTTCTCCTATCAGCCGGTCTAGTATTAATCTTACACTGAACTCAATTCCAGTTGACATATATCATTATTGTAGGAAGATTAGAAAACTCATTTTCTTAACTACAACTTGCCTCGATCTAGCCTTTGCTATAAGCTTTGTGTCTTGATTTATGGCCAAACCACATCTTAACCTTAAAGTCGTCCACCACATTCTCAAATATGTCAACAAAATAGATGATTTTGGACTCCTCTACGCATCAGGCCAATATTATAACAACAGAGGCTTCACCGATGCCAGCTGGGCAGCTTGTCCTAAAACTCAGAGATCAACAGAACGGTATTGTTTTATAATGACGGGAGCTACCATCACCAGGCAATCTAAACGATAAAAAAAACTGTAGCTAAATCTTCTGTAGAATCTTACATGAGCCTCTCCACAGGAACATCAAAGGTAGTTTGGTTGTACCGACTTTTGCAAAAAAACAAGTGTGTTCAGTCCCAGAACACCATCTTTTCTTCTCACCACAAATAGCATTGTTATCAAATCAAACGTAGAGCCATCCATCCTAAGCATCCACTGCAATAATCAATCTGCAATCAAGTTAGCAAAGAACCATGTATTCCACGCACATACCAAACATATAGCAGTTCACCACCACTTTATCAGAGAGAAAGTCAAATTAGGAGAAATCAAATTACATTGTGTCTCCACAGATGCACAATCTATGGATATTTTTATAAAAAACTTGAGATGACTCAAATTTGAACTACACCGATCAGAACTAGGTCTCACTAGCTTGTCCTCATTAGCTTGTTAACACTCTCAAATTTACCCCACTTTGTCAAGGTTTGAAGCTCGGTAAAACTGTATATCTCTCTACCTTTGTCTATCTACCTTCTTCTTTTCCATAAATTCAATAGCCTCCTCAACCTTGTCCTAAACCTTTTAAACTTTGCTCCCAAAAAATACCTGACCACGTCTTTGCACTCTTTTCAAGTAGAATAAATTCCAGTTTTTACTTCTTTCTTCATTGCATAGAACGTCACCTCCTTAGCCAATCCTTTCCCCGAAACCAAACCTCAATCACAAATTACTTCATCGCAATTCCTGCACCTTGCCTAAAGCCATACTGCATCACCAATTACAACCAGGCGTTACAACCTGTAGTCTCTAGCGAGGATAGCAATGCAATTTGGTGAAGGAAGATACACAAATGCACCAACAACCTTTACCTCTGTTGCAAAAAGGACAGGAGAAATAACCTACCACCAACTCCAGCCTTGACTCTAACTTGTTTGCTTGACTACGAACCACTGTCGCATTCACCAAATCAAATAACAACGCAATTGCTCTTACGCACTCCCACAACGCAATTGCTCTTACGCACTCCCACACCGCAACAACTTGCGTCCAAGAACACAACCAATCAAGCACATACCTAAAGATAATCAAATACATGGCTTTACAAAGGATCTCCTCACTCACCAGAGTTGTCGAATGGCGCATCGCTGCCGGCTTTGCTTTTCCATATTCAATCTACTGCTGCATCAGCAGCTTATTTCAACACTCTGAACCTGCCACCACGCTGCAGCAGTAATGTTGGAGTGGACACATTGTGCTTAATGAATTTGTGACATTGTGTAAGAGACTGGTGGTTTACCGACGGAGACAAAGCATTACCGATTTTGGTCTGTTTGTTCATTGTCAGCGTGCTCTGGACAATGCAGGCTTAGAATCCCCACCCCACATCTTTGTCTGATGAACGTTTCTAAAAGAAGAAATTGGACACTAAAAAATGCCATTCAGAGAAAGTGGACAATACATGTGGGAAAGTATTTAAATTTTATTAAATAATAAAGTCATGGGTGGATATCTTTTCTATCTAGTGAAGGAAAAGGAAAAAATAAATATAAATAAATAAATAAATAAATAAATAAATAACTTCAAACTGAAAATTTTAAAGTATACTTTCTAAACATGCAAAATATAAAATCTTATTTTGGTATTAATTGGAAGATATATCCTTGTAAAATAGATGTATATTAAAACATTTGTTTATTTGTGATGATGGTGCAAATATTTTTCAAATCAAATATGAAAAATTCAACAAAACATTAATAAGCACACTTCAAAACATGTTTGAGGATTATTAATAGATAACAATAAATCTACTCATTGCTTTTAGCCTTGTAAATCAGGGTAAGAATCTAATATTGTACCCAATTCTATTGTCTTTTTCTATACAATAAAAGCTTAATATTTTAAATATTAAAATGCTTTGTTTATTATTTAAAAAAATAATAAATCCAATAACAATAATTATTATTATTATACAGAAAAACCTTAATTTTTACTTGATAATTTGGTATATTTATAAAGATTTAAGACTAGATTGAAGTCTAACCCTATAAATAAATAAAACACTTCTTTAGTAATAAAAAGAAATCACTTGTTATCAAATGAATATGGTTTGAATAAAAATGTAGATTTAAACATTGTAAAGACAATATCTAACAAAAGAAAGTTGGAGATAAATTAATTTATTTGAAAGAAAAGTAAAATAATATAATCCATAGATATAGATATATATATATATATATATATATCATCATCATCATTGTCATCAATTAAACAATGTATGATAGTGAATGATTTAGCTAATTGATGTGATATAAATTGAAAGCTACAAAAATTTAAATTTAAAATTTAGCAACCATTCTATAATTAAATACACTAATATCATGGACATTACCATTAATACTAATGTATTGAATGCTAATAAAAAATAAAAAATAATATCAACTTGATAAATTTAATTAAATTTATTTGAGTAATATAGGAAGAAAAGATAAATATCCTCTTATAAATTTAGATCTTAAGTTGTATTCTTTGAAATACAAACAAGCCAAAAAAATAAATAAGATAAGATAAAGAAGAAATGGGCAACAAATCTATTAGAAGTAGAGTTGAGCAATTGAGATAGAAAAATACAATATAATATAAAAGAACTACATAAAAACTCAAAGAAAAATTTTAAAAACTAAAAGTATTATATTTGAAAAAATAAAATAAAATAAAATAAAAAACTTGTAAAATACTATTGAAAATAGAATATGGATGATTGATAAAGTCTTAAGTAATCGTGTTAAAAAGGTGTTGATTTGATGTGCAATGAAAATTCAAATTTGACAAGTCAACAGAGCTGATGTAAATTAAACAACTTACTTAGAAAAATATAAATCATGCTATTATTTTTATGCTTTCAAAAGAATTCAATCAAAAAATTCAATTGATAAATGTGCTCTTTGATAAATATTTATTAATTAATAAATTTATATTATTATTGCTAGAAGTAAAAAATAATAATAATGATTTTTTCTGGCTAAATTTTCATACTAATATTTTATCCATAAAGTTTTATACCTTATAAAACACATTGACCAAATCTGGTATAAAGAATAATTTTAATCTATAAAAAATATAAAATTTAAAAAAACTAATATAATGTATTTAATTAAATAAAATATAAATAATATCATATTATATTATTTCAATATAATAAAAGAAATATTTATAATTTATTATTATTTAAAAGTTTTTAAAGAAACATTATAAGTCACTGTATTTTTTCTAAAGAACTAACAATTTTTTTCTTATCTTCAAAATAATATTATTCTCATTATCTTTTATCTTATTTATTTATTTATTTATTTATTTACTATTGCTACAAAAACAACCAGCAATCTCATTTAATAAGCAAAAGTAATTGTATTTTTTAGCTTATTAATGTTTGTGGCCATAATAATATTTACAACTTTCAGCAATTCAAAGTGACAAAGTCAAATCTTTATAATTGCCTCTTTTTTATGTTTATCTTATTTGGTACTATCTAGTCATTTATCATCATGTATAATACTTTATTATTAGAAATACGAATAATTTACTTGGTTGCATGTTATCATTTTTTTAAATACAAACCATTTCTTAGATGCTAATTACATTCACAAGTTTTTTGATGGACTTGTCACTCTAAATTTTAGAATTTTGACGTGTTTTTCAAACTTCAATATTTAATGAGTAAGTTGTGTTTTTTCCTATTTTAATATGTTATTTCAATCTTTTCTTGTAAACAATAGATGCTTCAAATGTAAATCTTGAATGAAAAAACTCCAATTCTTAAATAAAGTAAATCAACTACAAGTTTATTTTACATAATAATAACAAAAATAAAAACAAAAAAAATAAATATAAAATTTATTATTATCATACCAATTCAAAGATAAGAATATATTTTAATTAATAACCAAGTTATAATAATTTTAATTTTTTGAAAAAAAGAAGATTAGAGATCTAAAAACCACAATGATAAAAAAAATACTAAAAAAAATATTTATATTTATAAAATCAAAATACAATTGAATTTAGTAAGCAATGAAGGTTCATAGATCACAACTAATAACCACAATAGGCTTTAATAATAAAATATCTCTATCTTATTTAAAATTTTAACTATGTTAAAAAAAATTACTACTAGAACATTTTCTCCTTTTCACTTCTTATATTATTAGTTTCTCATATATGTCACAATTTTCATATCTTAAGCCTCTTTTTTAGTAAACGTTAAAAAATAATATCCATGCTAGCTAGACATTATTTTCTATTTACATTGGCTAGATTTTGTTCCACCTAACTTAAATATTTTAAAGTGAGCAAAATAAATTTATGTAAAGAAACTTTGTATAATATATATGCAAATTAGTGACATGTTTTGAATGCTTCTAATATATATTAATATATTAATATATATTAATATATTAATATATATTAATATATGTAAATTTAACGATATATTTCTTATATAAAATAGCTTGGGAAGGGACAAATATACAAGATAAATTGGGGAGACAAAACAACCTACTAATTGATTGTATGTCTCATTTTTTTCATCAAAAAAGTAAACCAAATTTGAAGTTTACAAGGCCCATTAATGTTGATCATATCAAAAAAATACATTCAAAAAAATCCTAAGTAATAATCCTTGGTTGCTGCAATTATAAGCATATTATAAACCTTGCACAATTGTAACTTGGTCTGATTGTTGTAGGGAGGTTACATATGGAGACCAACTTCTCAAAGGTCTATGTGAAGAGGTTAATATGTCAAGACTCATTGTAGTACTCATGTACATAGCTTTGTAGTAGAACAAAGTGTTTTTGTCTACAATTACTAGATTTGATACTTGAGCTTTTGCATGCTTTTAATAATGTTATTCTTCCTACAATTATATTTGTTGTTGCTTTGTAAATTTAACTTTAATTAGGTGGTTTATTTCTAAGGTGGTTTTGACAAGGCTTAGTTAATGGAAATTCTTGATACAACTTAATACAAGCATAAAGTTGGAACTCTTCTATAAGTGAAAATTTTATTTTTTTCCAAATTTCTATTGAAAAATGTCAATAGTAAGACAAATATCTTGGCATGCAAATACAATCTAGACTTTTCAATTTGCTGACAAACTTAGTCTATGCAAGTTGAGGATGTGAATTACATTGAAGCAAGTGATGAATATTAAAAAGCACCACAAAATTTATATAAATCAATGATGCAATTGAATGAGAGTATTTCTTAGATGGAAATTGTATTTCTAAAATAGTTTTTGATTCTAAAATCGCCTTAAAAGTTTTCTTTGAGTAATACTTTTAGGCATATTTCAATATTTTATTTACTTTCTTATAGCAAATAGAAAAAGATATAGTATATTAAACACCATAGAAAGTTTTGAAACCTTCTATGCAATGTTATATGGTGAAGAATATCTTAAATATCTCTTGATTTTGTTTAGTTTTATATATTTTGTACTTCTAAAATAATTAAATATGAGTTAAAAACCTAGTCAAAATAAAATATAAATTAAATTGTAATAATAAATTGTGATAATAAATTGTGATAATAAATTTAAACAATTCAAGAATTTATATTTATGTGTTTGTATGTTAATTCAATTAAAATTTTCATTTATTTGAAATAAAATTTTAAAATAAATTTATTTAAAAAATAAAAAATAGACATATGATAATAAATACGAATCATAAAAATTCAAAATTTATCTATGTTTGAGATAAAAGTCAAATTCTTTTCCTAATACTATGTGAAATTGTCATTGATACATGAAAATTGGGAAATATTTATCATACATCATGTGGTTGGTATTCTATATAATTGATAAAGTTAATTTTTAACTATCAAAAACTTTTAATTTATAAAATGATAAAATTTCTTTATAAGAAATATAAATATCTATAATGTATAGTATTTTTATATATAGGTTTGAAAATCTATTGAAAAATCAACATATATCTATATTAGTTTGATATGCTTAAAAAGCTTAATTTTTGAAATTTAATTTAGAAATGTTTTATTTTTAAAAAGTAGTATAAATGTGAATACTTAAGTATTTTTGATAGAAGAAATCTTTCTTATTGACACCAACAATGAAATAAATAATAAAAAAAAAAATGTGTTATTGATTCATGTTATTGATTTTACGTTAAGCCCATGACCTGATTTGTAAAAGGTGAATTTTCTCCTATAATATTTTTTCAATCTACCAATTTTTTTTGTTTCTAGACTTTGTTATTATATTAATGTAAAATTAATTCTAAAGAACTTAATTGTAGAATTTTCCTACTAATTCACAAGGCAAAATGCTTAAGAAGTGAGATCTTGATACCAACAAACTAAACTTTTTGGTGAAAACAATGAAGCAAAAGTTTCATTGAAAACTTGATTGAGTGATGTACCAAAGCATTTTCAATCATGATTCTTTTTGTTCTTAATTACTTTGCTATAGTAGCTTTGTGCCTCCTTTTGAACTTTGAGCCATGGTAGGCAAACACTACAATGCATAGTTTTGTTCTTTTTAGCACTTTCACTGCATATCTTCAAGAGATTTGGCATACCTAGGGTTCAATAATGATGAGGTGGATATCTTCTTTTTATTAGAGTTTTTCTGAAACCATCTCACATGTAGTTTATCATAAATCAATTGTTCTAAATATGATACCATGGCGATTCTAAAATAACACAAGTATGTATTGTCATTAATTAACAACAACATTCATTAAGTATATGTTTAAAAGTATGTATACATATACATATCTAAAAGCTCAATTTTACAACATTGCTTCATTATTATTGTTATTGGAGATGTCCCCAATCTCTATTATAAAACATTTTTGCATATTTTTTGTGACAATGACAGGGATTCAGCTAGCATATTTCTATATATATATTTCTAAATAAACACATAATTATTTTTAGATGGATAACACATATAAAGAATGTAAATAATTTATTTTTAGATGGCATTTAATCTCTATGTTGACATACCAGGACGACGAAAGTAAATGGATGGTGACACAAGGCTGGGAACGCGAGATCCAAAAGTCATAAACCAAGTTCCCCATCGAGAAAAAAGCTAAAGGCACCACTATCTGAAAGGAATGGTGTCGAAGGGCGGAAAGCATATGCGGTGGGTGTCCTTTTAATCAACCGAACTGGGAACACGGGAACTTTCAACGGAGTTCATGAGAACTTTTCTCATCCATTTGCATCATTCATCACCAGAAGTTAGTTCAGGGGAACGTTTTCACAAGGGAGAGTGTGATCAGGAGGAGAAGCGCGCTTGGGAACTTCAAGCTCGTTCAGGATCGAGGCAGTCATTGTTTCATAGAAGCCGTGATGGCGCTCCTCAATGGCTTCAGCGAAGTGTGTCATCGTGGTGTAATTGTCATTGTTGGCATGTTGAGGCTTCTTTATTAAGTGCTTACTGGTTTCACGCAAAATGCGATCAAGCAGAAGAACGGGAGATGTTTGGAACGAAGCGGAGGTTTAGAAGGTAGGTCGATTGGTTTTCGGTGGCGAAGGCGATTGTGGAGAGGTGGTGGAAATTTATATGGTTAGGGGCATTGTGCTACTGTCGTGATCTGATGCGGGGTGCAGATTGTAGGTCTAGGGACTATGCCGTTGAGTGAGGACGCAAATTCTTTACACTTTATGTCGGGTGTTGTGTAATCGCATTCTTGGGGATGCTAGTGAGGCGAGTTGTATTCGTATTGGTTGCGTTTTAGTTCTGTTGATGGAGCGTTGTGTGGTGAGGAGTTGGTTGTAGTGGCAGCAGATCAGTTTGAAAGCCGCACTTGGTTACGACCCTTGTCTTCCTTTGTCTGATTTCTTTTGGACGTGGGGAATTCACGTCATTGGCTTGCATTCGGGGTCCTTGAGTGCGAATTAGTAGGTTTAGTCCTTTTAATTTCGAAACATATTGAGGGCATTATTTGCAGGCTGATGCTGCCCTGCCGCAGAACTATTTCATCATGAGATTTGTAGGGCTAATCCCTCGATTCTCCTTTCAATCTGTATCTTTCATTGGTTTATATCGACAGAGCCGAGTGTGATGTTCGTCTAGAGTAACAGAATCCTTGCTGGATCGGTCCAGGCATCAGTTAGATCCTGCGTAGCGATTGCGAGGCTGCCCCCCGCCATTTCTTTAGCGTTTGCGAGATTTTGGTTGATATCATAGGCTGCTTACGTCGCATTGGAAAAACATTATCTTGGTAATGCACTACTACATTAACGTCGAGGCATGGCTTGGCCACATGCCTACATGGTTACGATTGTGAAAATTTCCTGTTCATCTTGTTTTTCCATACTTCAATTGGCTGAGATTCTTCACAATCCTGAAGAGTCTAGTTATTTTATTGCCGTACTTTACCAAATTGATAGATATTGTTGATCTATCTTAGAATTATGGCTCTAAATAGTTTTGTCACCTCTTATCCTATCGCAGCCTATCTTTTATTGCCTGGACAAGCTTAAGCAAGGGTATGTCAGGAATTGGGGTATTTAGTTAAGCCCTCTGTTTTGTGGCTGTGAAGGGTTCGTTGCTTGACAGATCTTGGCTTGCTTTCTCATTTCTTGTCCTAAGTTACACTGTAGTATTTCACGCTACACTAATGTGCAGCTACTATGTGCCTTAGGTTTCCATGTTAGCGTAGTGAGCAACTGCTTTTTTGTTAGACCAAGTTATCTATTAAGCCCTGCTTACTCCTCAGAATAGTTTTTAAGAGAGAAGAGGGAATATGTAGATTTTAGCGAAGGTCTAATAGAAAAAGTTCCTTGGATTTTCGGACTCAGGTCTACCTAACCTTAGTTCCCTCCTTTCTATTAACCAGAGGAATTTAGCGGGTTGAGTTCACTCATGCTAGGGTGTATGGTTTTGATGTGTAACTATATTAACCCAAGCACATTTTTCTTTGTATTTTTTGAGTGTACTCGTATTTCCTTACGTTGTTTGAGAGCTTAAGCTCTTTGCCCCTCATGCGTTGGTTTCATGCATCTTTCATTTGTCATCTCCATTCTGTGTGCTCACTTTTGAAAGCAGTTGCACTACCGGAATTGATAGTCTCGTTCTTTGAGCAGCGTGAACAACTTTGAATAAGCTTTCACCGGACGTGGTCCTGCTTGAAGTATGTGGCGCAGAGCTTATTTAGCCGTGTGTAGGAAATCATGACGTATTGATGACGGTTTCGTTTAGGAATTGTCTACTAGAACACTAGGTTGAAAGCCATATTCAGACACTTTCATCCAAAGAGACATACAATGTGCCTGTTGAGTGAAGGCCATTCGGGATTTTATTGAATTGAGCTATTTTGAATGAATTAACTATGCTCATGTGATCCTTTCTCTCGACATATTCTTTGTAGTTCAGCAAGTTTGTACGCTACACTAACACATTTTTCTTCGTTTTCTTCTTTTTCTTCTATAGGGCGTTTCTATAGTGGACTTCTCAGACTCTGAGAACTTCATCTCCCTTGGCTATTCCCTGCCATTTGATGTACCATCTCCTGGCGGATTCTTGTCATGACCATGGCTCCTACGGTATGCCCGTCTCTTCATGTGCTGGAAGGTCATTGCGAATATTGTGGTGAACTGTGTGACAGTACGCAGGGTGAACTCAATGCTCTTGTTTGCACATTTGAAGGGTGCCCATCACCAACAATCTACCACCAGCACTGCATTGAAGCGTATTTTAAAACCATACGGCTTGACAAGTATGTTGATCCTTAGCTTGCGGAAATTGCAGTTTTATTGTTAAAATGTGTGTTAATTGCTATATGTTTTGTTACTGGTATGGTCTTTTCTGGTTTGAACCTGACATTTGATCTGTACATGGATTATTTTCTGTATAGTTGGATGTCTTTCTAAACAGGGTTTTAACTTATCTGCCTTATTTGGTCCGTGCATGTCCTTTTGTGTTGTTTTTAGAGATTGGTATAAGGACTCTTTTTGTAACTAAGTACAATTGTCTAAAGACTGGAAATTCGTAATCGATGTCCGATCAACTAATCACTCTGCACTTGATTATGAGTTGAGAAAATATGGTTGTTGGGAATTAACTTCTTTCTGTTGATAGTTCTTGTGAATGTTTTAACGATTTACGTCTCACAATCGCACTTGAACTTCTTGGGTGGCCTCAACGGTTGCGGGGTGCATTTATTGGTGGAAATATGGAAGTTTTTATTCTTCTATTAGCGTGATCTGTGGTGTAGTCTCACTCCATGCCTTGGGACTGCAATCCTGTTTGAGATACTTCCACTCTATAATTTCGGGAACGTTGTTGTTTGTCGTCAGAAAGCAGCGCAAAAATAGATTTCAATGCCCAAGAGGGCGTGGCAAAGGCTCCAAAACTGACAAACCTTGTCTTGGTCGAGTAAGCAACTTGCACTTATCAATTTCATTGGTTGTAAGACTCATGACACGAACTTGGGTTCCCCTCATTGCGTAATGTGTGAAATATTTGTAAAACTTGTTGAGGTCAAGTAGTTCCTTGTGGGCTTTTTGATATTTATTGGCATAGGTGGTGAAATAGATATTCATTCAGTGAAATAGATATTCATTGCATTGTACAGGTGACTAAATCACATTCATTTCATTCTCGCATTGATAGTAGGTATGTAACATCTCATTGAAAACATCTTATTTACAATATGCTACATGAAGCTCTTTGTTTAGTGTGGCGTCCTTTGCTATCTCATAAGAGCCATTGCGGATTAAGCAAGTGGTGAACATTGGATCTTCTCCTAGGTAGAACTTTTGACTAGGGTTTAGGGTTTAGGGCTAGATTTAGATGAGACTCACTGAACAAGAAATTGCCGTGCTCCAGTAAGAAGTGGAGGAATTGCAAACTTCCTGAAATATCTCCTCCAACGATTACTCCGACCACTCTTACTAAGAAGGAGAAAGAGGATAACCCTCAACCATTGAGCGCATCGAAGTCTGTCAAAATAGAGGAGAATGATGAATTTGATACTACACCAAAGCTTCTAATCTTGAATCGAGCATCAGCGTTTCCTTCATTAAGTGGGAATAATGGAAACACTTCTGAAAGCATTAGTGTGAGTGGCAGTTCTAGTAACACGTCTAGTGGGGTTAAAGTATTGTCAAGAGAATCAACTTTAGCAGCCATTGCGGCAGCTAGGTCTGAGATAGCTGCTAATAAAAGGGGTCCGAGTGTGAAGAATAATACCGAGACTTATGCGAGTGGACGATTAGATCATAGTATCACATCTCTTAACAATCGTTTAGCTCAGAATTCAAAAAGTGATGATGATAGTTCACGACAATTTATGAACTCAAAAGATTTCAGAAAAGTTCTTTCAGTTGGCAGGGGAGAAGTGGAGAAGACCCTTGTTACTAATGCATGGGCACGTGGACGTTGCAACGAGCTCCTGAATGGATTCAAGGTATTTTCCAGCTGCGCATTTAGCTATCAACATCAAAATATGCGATATATATACTACTTTTCAATATGGACATCAGCAATGTGGTGCATGTGTTTTTGCATAGACTAAATTAACCTGACTTGATTTTCATTTTGTGCTCGAATACTGGGTATTGATGCTAATGTTCACGAAAATACGGTTGAGACTGACTCAAACAGTAGTTTATCAATCAAGATGCATACCAAAAGCTACTCTTTTGTTCAGTTCCTCGGGTTGGTACCTCAAATTTGAATTTTTCATTTGATCTTTAACCTTGCAATGTATCCTGTGCAGCAAAATGTCTCAAAGATACCTCCGCTATTAGACTCACTCAATTCATCACAAGACGTGAATGTGTCAACATCTTCTACCTCAGTTGCACGGCCTCCAGTCAGACAACCAACAGTTACTGAACGTCTAGGACTTGGTGAAGGAGAGGATGATGATTTGGAAGCTCGTCGACTAAAGTATGTTGCACATTTCTACTTTATTCTGTAGTGCATCATCCTTTCATATTCTTTGCGGGCACGTAATTTATATTGACTTTCTCTAAAAGTATGTTTGATAAGGACTGACTTTATCATGATGCATCCTTAGGGCACGCACAAAAAATGAAAAGAAGCACTTGCAACGTGCAGCTAGGGCACGAGAGAAACGAGAAGCAGAGGAGGCTACCTTAGTTGTCAGCACTGCGATACACAGTACATGTCAATCTAAGCAACATGGTTCCGAGGCTAACTTTAAGCCATGGAATGAAAGCCTCACAAGTGTTATTCGTCACAACAAGTTTCACTCTCTTGTCAAACAACTACAAGAGTGAGTATTTCGGGAATGTTTTGAAGTATTAATGAGTTTGATTCTCCCATGTTGTGGCAGAGCACTACCTAAACTGCGGTCGATTGCCTGTGTTCATCTGAATTTTCTTAACATGTTACATGATCGCGACCAACTAGAGATTTTTGTGAAGAGTTTGTTTTGGCAGCACACGACTATGTTGTAGTAATTGCACCTTTTTCTAAGTTGACACGGCTGTTGAAAGACTACTAGCTTAGTGGACTCCTGTTGTGATGGGGGGATGATCTGCTACGCTTTGTTAATAATCGCAAGGTTGCCTTCCAATTCCTTTTGCAGAAGATTTATTCATATGTTGCATATTTTCTCGTTATTGCACTGGTTCTGTGGAGCATAATATTTAGAACGTTGTTGGTTGACTTTGCTTCTATTATCTGTAGGTATGGATTTGCTGACTGGCAATCCAATTTGGCTGTACGCATATGTGGTAATGATGTGGAGCAATGCTTAGACTGGCTTCTTCGGAATAGCTCCTCCATGCAAGCAGATATGCGTGCTAAGCGGGAAGAGATAATGGTGGGAATTATTGATCTCACATGTGATTTGTCAATGTGGTTGATATTCATTGACATTGTTTTCTCTTTATAGTCAAGACACTTGATGTGTAAGCAAGCTGAAAGTTGAGGATGTGCCGGTAATAGTTGAGATATTGAAAACCTGATTCTTAAATGTCTTCTGCTATTCAGCGGAAGGTATGCTTTTTCATTTTTCTCTCACTCTTGGCATGAAAGCTCTTCTAAATAGCGCGTACCTGAGTATACAGGACATAACTCTGGAGTTGAATGTATTGAAAGGGGTTCTTATTTCTGAAGGTTTTTCACAGGTTTGTGGATTTGTCATAATTTTAAGACCGGAAATTTCGCTATCCTTGTTTTACAAACTTGTGAAGGACGTGATATTTAGTTGGCAGTGTTGGCGAGATTCCCTGTTTCTTTTAAATCTTATGAAGGATAACTTTATGGCATATCATCTTTCACTTATTGGAGGACATGTCTGTGCAGGAGCAAGTAGAAGTGGCGGTTATAAGTACTGATGGTGACATTAATGAAGCTGTGAAAGTGTTAAGATCTTCACGTTCATATTTGAACTCACCACAAGAATCAAGCCAGGTTGTTGATTCGGTTGCAGTGACTGCCACCGTATCTTTTTGTAATTCAAAGTCAAAAATGAATATGAATGTGGTCTTGGTAATTGTCAAACCCTATGCAGAGGTTCTGTACTGTTCTGTTGACTTCCTAACCGATTTATTTTTCGTCATCACTATAACGGAAATTTCAAACCAAACTTACCTCTTGCTCCAAAGGGAGGTAAAGAATATCAGAAATAGAATCTGACTACTCTGTCTTTTTCAGGATTCCTATCATGTTGTGGTTTCCCCGCGCCGTTCGTTTGGTCAACCAATTCCCCAAAGCTCTAGTGACCTGGCTGCTGGATGGGACGGAGTGCTGAATGACACCACAGATGACCGAAAGCTTTCACCACTGTCCGGCACTATCAATGGTGCTGATCCTCAGCAAAATCTTGGTCTATTTTCTGAAGAATTTATTTCAGACGTTGCAAGGTGCAATTCAAAACTGGGTCTAGATAATTTTCAACCCCCAAGGGATACCATACCAAACAATGGATCATCAAGTGTGGAGACTCGGGATCAATCACAGGTGCTTCGTGCCACATCCGTATCTCAAAGAAATGCTGGATATTTTGAAGCATTATCTGGGGGACTACAAAGTCATCTACATAACAGCTTTGAATTGACAACGTCGACGGTTACCAGTGTTGCAGCAGCGGTTTTGAGTGACACGTTTGGTTTTGACGAGCAGATGATTTCACGTATGATGGATCTTATAACTGTCAATGAAGCGCCGTTAAACTCGACCGTTAATACTGCTGCCCTATCGCTCAATGGTATATGGAGCTCTCCTTCCTCTATATTCACTAGTTTTGCTGCCAACAAAGAGGTAACAAATAATTCCTTTCCAGAATCCCTTTCTTACATGCCATCCAATAAAACGCTTGATGGACGACCTTTTATTAATTCTCCTCTAGGAGCATTTGGAGAGAGACCCACTGAAGTGAATTCTGATTTAAAAAGAACTCCTTTGAAAAATGGTTATAGTCACGCAGGTCCACTGGATACATTCTTATGGGAACAACAGTCCATGAAATTAAATGATGAGGCAGAGCAGGATCTTCTGATGTCGGAGCTCTTGTCACAATTACTTGTTTGACTTTCTCGTGGTAAAGAAAGAGAATTCAATCGTTGCAGTGTCATTTGGCTCTATGGGTTGGAACGTAAGTAATTTTATTTTGGCTATCATTTAACATGCTGAATTGCCCACTATTGTTTACGTCGTCATGTCTCTTAGTAATGGAATTTGTACAGTGTTTATCGGTTCTGAGTCACCGCTTTCAATCAATATAATCCATACTGTAACATCTCACACACGTATTAACAATCAAGTCTTAAAGAATGAGTTGCAATGTCACATGTAGTTCTTTTATATAACAATTTAGAGTACTTCAGAAACCTCATCTTTCATGTTCCCCGTGAGGGTTGTTCACTAACTAATTCAACTGAAATAAACACAGTTTGAAACTTAAAATAGATGTACATCATACGCATGTGAGTTCCGTGTCATAAAATTCATGTGTTCCATAACCTTAAACTAAATTTGTAAAAGTTCATACTAAAAAATTAAATGCCTTTTTGTCATACATGTGACTGAAACAAATTGACTATGACTCGACTTGATAAATCTAAATAGTGGCTAAAACTACTTGGACTTGATCAAAAAAATTAATTAGTTGAACAAAACTTCTTCATTAAAGATTGTATCACCTGGTTAATTTATTCCATATTGGGTTAATTGTGTGCTTTGGAATTTATTAGTCATTGTGATTGAACCAGATATTTTATAAGTCAACTTGAAATAGGTTTCAAATGAAAGATTATTGAATAGAGAAATGAGGCTCTATCAGCAATCTGGGTAAATCAACAAGCAATAAAAAGTTTCAAATACGAAATACTTACATGATATGATTGCACATGATTTAAACATCAATAAAATCAAATCAAAAGACCAATCTATGAGGCATCGACTATGCACATCCCCAAGTTTTGCTGCCTTGGAATGAAGTTGTTTCAACTTTCAGAATTATTGATGTTGAAAGGATTAACCATGGTATTAAAATATATATGTGTGTGTATATATATAAAAATATATTAACATATATACATACACACATAAAATTTTCTCATTCCTCTTCTTTTTATAATTGGGTTTCTGAACATGGTCAAAATAATTCTTGAATACCCAACCTTCTTTTTTTAAAATTAAATTTTTTCAGGTTGAATTTTGTGATGTGTAGGTGCAAGTCTATATATATATATATATATATAACCTTACAGCTAAACAATTGTAGGTAATGAATTAGTTTATGAACCAATCTATGGAGCATATATTGTCCGGAACATTTAAAGAATAATAGAGTTGAAACATACTTGAATACATAAATAGCTGCAAAATATATAGTATATTGAGTGGCATAAGTATAGTTTGAAAATTGGATTGGTTTTGTGGTCACATCTTCTATAATTGTGTGGAAGAAGTTAAATAGTACTTTTTAAATATTGACATTGGCTTTGAAGAATGCACAGTTTTTCAACAATGATGTCCAATATCACACAAACATAATGAAAACAATGATCCAGTGTATTTGTTTTGTTTTTCCGTTTTTTGTTTGTTTGTTTGTTTGTTCGTTTTTTTTTTTTTTTTTTTTTTTTTAACCTAAAGTGAAAGATTTACAAGTCTATATACAGACCACATATCTCGATTAAATTCCTTTCATGACCTATGGCTTAGTAAAGTAACATAAAAATTTATAAAAACAAGTAAACAAATAATCTAAAGTTGAGTTTCTATTATTGCTGTTATTTATGAACATTAGTTCATTAAAAAAAATCAAAGATATTTATAAGGATTGTTAAGGTTTAATTTTCAAAATGCTAGGAGTCAATGGCCACTAATTTACCCCTCCAACCCAAACCCTAAAGCCAAGCACCATAGGTTAAAAAAAACACGAGCTCAAAGCAGTTACTCGCCGGAAAAGTAACGCTCCCAGGGAAAAGGATGAGGAAGGAAAAAGGAAGGCCTCGGAAGGCTCTAGAAGGCAAAAAAGAATAGAGAAAAGGAAAACGAAAAAGGAAAAAGCGGGAAAAGGAGAACATGGAAGGCTGAGAGACGCACAGGGCTGTGCCAGAACGGAGGACAACCCCCAGCACATCTATTGTGGAGCTAAACCACTATAACATGCCCTCCCTGCCCCCGATTTAAACCCTAACGTTGCCGTCTCCGCTCGCGCGTCTTCTCCAGAGCCCGGTGTGCTGCCCGCGTCTGTGCTCATTCGCCACCACTCCTAAACCCTCGCCCTCATTTCATTCGCGAACCTAAGGATTGTGTTTCTACGCTGAAGCAGTGGCGGCGTCGTTGGTGTGGTGGCTCTTACACTTCTTGCCGGGGAAGGGGCTCGTGGCGGGTTGCAGTGTGGTTTTGGTTTTGGTGGCGACCGTGGAACCCTAAGACTTTAGCTGAAGCGGCGGGTGATTGGGAGTTTTCTGTGAAGAGTGGGGTGAAGCAGACAAAGAGTTGAGAGAATGGGTGATCAGGCGGAGACAAGTGTTGCTGCGCTTGCCCCTGTTGACGAGGTGATGCACGAAGCCGCGACTGGAGAGGTGAAGGATGTTTTCGCTGCCGTCGAGGGGAATGCTAACGGCCATGTTGCTGATGTGATGGAGGCCGAGGTGGTGGAACAGGCGCCCGAAGTTGCGGTACCTGTCGTGGATCATGAAGGTATTGGCTAATCGTAGGAATTGCTATGATTCAATTTTCTCAAATCATTTTGTACATGGGAATTGTAATCTTGTATATGTTGACGTATATTTGTGAAATGGAGGAGGAATATGTCTGGAGCTAAATTTGGGATGCACAACATGGACATTGAAATTGAATTGGTTACCCAGGTTGTATTGCTTCCTTCGAAGCGTTCGCTTGCTTAGTTAGAGTATCTTTCATTACAGTATTCCGTGTAACTCGTGTTGCTCTCTGATGTAGACTAACCTTGAATTTTACTCTTCCTTTACTGGTCCACACAGCTCTTACCCCAGAAGAGGAACGATTGTGGAATATCCTCAAGGAGAATGATGCAGACTTTAATAACTGGACCGTGCTGATTCAAGAATCCGAGAAATTGGTGAGTTCTTCCCCAAACTATCGTTCACATGCTTCAGTTGAATTTCGGAGTTGATCTTTGTACCTGCGTTGAAAGGGTTCTCTAGGTTGTAATTTAATTTCACTACAGAATCAGGATTTCTGTTCAAGGATCATACCTTATTGGTACGAGGACCATCTCTTCTGCTGGAATACGGACAAGTACAAGCTAGAGGCGTTTTCATTTAACGCTGAATGTTTTGTTTTGCGTAACACATTTGCAGTGGACATCACTCACTGTTTCTACGCTTTGTGATGGGCCTGGTGTTCGAAGGTATCAGAGCTCTTAATGTACTCAATTTGTCTTTGTCACAGGAGGTGATTTCGAAAATTGAAAAAGCATACGATGCTTTTCTGGCCCAGTTTCCTCTTTGTTACGGATATTGGAAGAAATACGCCGACAACGAAGCAAAGTTGGGGTCATCTGAGAAAGTTGTGGATGTTTATGAGCGAGCTGTGAAGGCAGTGACCTATTCCGTGGATATGTGGATGAACTACTGCATCTATGCGATGGAGAAATTTGAAGACCCTGAAGCTATCCGTGGGTATGTTCGAAGGCTCTAATTAACCCACTCAGTCATTCGATTCCCGCACACCGCGGAGGCCATCCTTGATTCCGGATGTCTTGTCTATTACATCTTCTAGTAAATGAACGAATTGATGTGTGTTGTGTCTTCTGACCCGTGTCTGGTCTTGCTGCAGCTTTTCATCCTGCACTTCTTTTGCTGTCTCTGCAAAGAGATGGTCTCATGTTGGCGGAGCATTCAGTTTCCACTTCGTAGGATGACGTCTCGTAAACTGAAAACCCGTACGCTTTTTGTGAAAAAGAAAGAACAACATATATTCTCGACTGTTAACGTTAACGTGATTTTCACTCAGTTCGCTTTAATGCTGTGTGATTTAATGCTACGTAACTTAAACCATCGAGTTAAACCTAGTGGCTGTGCTGTGTGTTACTATTGCTACATCCTTCACTTCTTGACTATGATTGAGAATGCCGTGACATGCGCGTATACACATATCTTACGTCAGAATGCTGCTGTGGAAGATTACGGGTCCAGTTTGAGGGCAAAGAGAGGGCTTCTGATTGCCGCTTCATGTCCGGACGTAGTGTGGTTGAGCGGGAAGGTAAATGCAGAGCATTGTGCTTCTATTTGGAAGTCTGAAAAGCAAGTTTCACTGAAAGTTCTTACTTGGCAACTCGGCCTATTTCCTGCTCTGATCGCCTAATCTAAATATAAGTGAGTCAGTTTTAAAGGGTTGGGGGTTTAACATTTGGAGATTCTAAGGTTGTATTGTGCTTTCTTCAGGTTGTTCGAGAGGGGAGTGTCGTTTGTGGGGACGGACTATCTTTCGCACCTCCTTTGGGATAAGTATTTGGAGTTCGAGCACGCGCGCTCGGAGTGGAGTCGTGTTGCACAGATCTACACCCGAATCTTGCAGATTCCTCTTCAACAGCTTGACCGATATCACACAAGGTTGATTCGCATAAATATCTCGGATCTTTTGGTCTGTTGATTTCTTGTTGATACTTTTTAGAATGTGAAGTTCGAGCTTTATATTTGCTTTCAATGGAACATGCTGGAACCTTATATTAGTGATGTGAACGAAAGGTGTGACATATGAGGTGAGTCTAGAAGGTAGGTGCCTAATATAGTGTAGTTATTTTGTGGCAGTTTCAAGCACTTTGCCTATAGCCATGCGTTGACCGAATTGATGACGGCTGAGGAGTCTGAGACAGCTGCGAAGCTCAAGGCAGATGAGCCAGTTAAAGAAGCTCCACCTACAGATGGTGAAGAACCTATCGCTGTGGCCGATGCTGATGGCCCAGCTGAGCCTGCGAAGCCAGTAGAGGCAAAAGTAGATTCAGCGGCAGCTGATGATTTAGAGAAATACATCGCTGTTCGGGAAGAGTTTTACCGAGCTTCCAAAGAATGGGATGCGAAGACTAGGGACTTTGAAGCTGCGATCCGCAGGCCGTACTTTCATGTCAGACCATTGGACGAGGCACAGCTTGGAAACTGGCACAAGTATCTGGATTTTGTCGAAAAGGAAGGTGGAGTTGACAAGGTGAGATCTATCATTTTGACCGAAGCTGATATTGTGAGTTTTATATCGAGTGGAGAATAGAGAATCGTATTTTTACCTTTGTTATTGTACTCTTCTGAGAAATTTGACCATCCGGGGGTTTTATGAATGTGCAGACCATCAAGTTGTACGAACGGTGCTTGATAGCGTGCGCAAACTATCCCGAGTATTGGGTTCGTTATGTCCAGCGCATGGATGAAGAAGGGAAAACAGAGATCGCCCTTGATGCTCTCCATCGAGCTACTGTGACCTTTGTCAAGGTTAGCACCTCACATTTCTCATTGCAATGTCCTTGCGACATGTATATCTACATTAATTCTTTCAGTTTGAATTCTACTTTTGCTGTTCATGTTATAGTTCTGTTAGGATGGTGATCACCTTAAATGCTTTCGACCGTGACTTAATGTTCGTGAGCTCTGTGTTGGCATATTCCGGATCTAGTACTTACTTTCCATTGTACTGGATGCAGCGACGACCAGAAATTCACCTCTTTGCAGCACGGTATAGAGAGCAGCAAGGGGATGTCAAGGGTGCGCGCGCTTCTTACGAGGTTTTAAGGAATGATCTTGGACTAGGTCTTCTAGAGGCTATCATTAAGCATGCCAATTTTGAGAAACGCCAGGTATCACTTTCAAACCTGAGCCTTCTGTTAGAATCTTTCTCTTCCTCTTTCATTGTTTCATTTTAGATAGTCAAATTTGCATTAGTGGAATGTCATGTTTGGATCATGCTGTAGCTCTGTGAAACAAAACTTTTAGGTGTGCATTATATTATTTCATCTTTAGGATGCAGTACCTGAAGAGCGGGAATGTGTGCAGGGTAATGACGAAGCTGCGTGTTCTATTTTTGAATCTGCTTCAGAGCTTGAAAAAATTAAGGAGGATTCCCGAGCACGAGCAGTTTTATACATCCAGTACGCTCGGTTTCTTGATCAGGTTGGTAGTCGTTCACGATTACATAGTATATATCTGAATTTAAAATACGCCCAATACGCCCAATACGCCCATGATACTTTTTTGACATTTTAGATTTTTTCTTGTACCGAATTTTCATTTCAGTTCGTTCTTAATTGAAATGTCCCACCAATTAGTAATGAATAAATTGACTGTCTTCATTTTGAAAGGTGCTCAAAAGTACAGAGAAAGCCCGTGAAGTGTACAGCACAGCCTTGGGTAGTCTGCCAACGTCCAAAACGTTGTGGGAGGTATGCTATCTCTTCATTTAAGAATGTGTGCTCCATCTTCCATTTGTATTTTTTTTTTTTTTTTTTTTTTTTTTTGTGGATTTTATGTGTCAATTTTTTTCAGAATGTTCCTTAGGAACGTGCGAGATGAATATGGAAGAAACTTTCCGAATTTTTAGTTCCGATTAACGTAGCTCATACAATAGCTTATCATCTCGTACATCTGTTTATTACAGTGTGGATCAACGCCTTCAATTTTTTTTACTCTGATTAAGTGCAAGATTTGTGGGCTCGTGAGGTTCTTTCAAGTTGTTTGCTGATTCTTTGATGTGTAACGACAGGCATTTATTAACTTTGAGGCTTCTCATCAACCTGAAAAGCCTCAAGTCGAGTATGTTAATTCTCTGATCGAGAAAGCAATTGCTCCATCCAAACTTGAAGGGTCGTCTGCTTTGTCAGCATCTGACCGAGAGGAATTATCGAGCATTTACCTTGAGGTACTAAAATTACACTGCGTTAGCATATGTGAGCTAAACTTTTTCTGGCGTCAGTAGTTTTATTTGCAAGTAGTTTGAAGTTATGATTTTGGTCATTTGAGATCATTTCTGTAGCTCCGTGTAGTTTCGAATTGAGAATGACTAATATTTTGTTTTTTGGTGTTAGAAATATAACAAGCCGTGTAATTCTAATAACCAAAGTTGTTGTGCAGTTTGTCGACAGCTTTGGCACTAAAGAAGACATCAAGAAGGCCGAAGCTCGGCATAGAGAACACTTTCCCTCTCCCAAGAGTCCTGTGGAATCTAAGAAGAGACCATCCATGGATATTTCTGCGCCTGATCGTGCGAAAGTGCATAAGCCTTATGTTGGCGTAACCGCTACAGCAGGGCCTGCTGGGCCCCCTGCCTACAACAACGGGCAAGCACAGTGGAATGCGTTCACTCCTCAACCTGCATATTCTCAGCAGCCCCAAGGTTGGCAGCAACCTCCTCTGCAGCAGCTGACTCCACCAGTGCAGCCACAGCAATGGAATCAAAGCTACGGTTCACACCAGGTTAGATTTCAGTCTCACAAGTTCGTTATATTTATAATTCTCTCGTCATGCGATACATTTTTAGGCTTTGTTATGTATTGTTGGCATGTGATGCAACAGAAGACCGGCTTTTCGGGTACCCAATTAACACCAGCATTATTTGCAGAGTGCGTATGCTGGGTACGGAGGGTATGCTTCGTATGGACCTCCACAACAGCAAGCACCTGCGCCACAGCAGCCCCCTTACGGTGGATATGGCCAAGGATATCCCACTCAGGTATGAAGTCTTAAATTTAAAATTGTAACATTACGGTAGTTGGGGTTGTCCGAGATGCGGATTCGCTGCTTGGGGGTTCTAGAATGCAATGGGTTTTCTCTGTTGATTGAGTGTCTGGCTGGCATGATTGATGGATTGTCAGCAGGAGGTGAACGGTTGGAGCTCAGGTGGATGGTGAGGGTGGTCATAGCATCATTACATGCATGTTGGACACGGTATGAGCCTTCGTAGTTTTGTAGAAGTGGTCGATGTATGCATGTATACATCGAGGGGTAATGTCTCTTGGGTGCTTGGGTATTCTCAAATTACATCTTGGATTACGTGTTGAAGCGTGAATTGATGGTTCATCTTTAATTACGACAGGAGGTGGTTCAACCTTATCCTCATGCACCTACTGGGTATACTCAAGATACATCATACAGGATGCCTACGCCCTCTACGGCTCCTCCAGCGCAACCAGCATCGACAGGATATTACTACGGAAACTGCTATTGATCGATGCTTACTGTTGAGACTCAGTGGGAATGACGGAATGCTAATGCCTCGACAAATTTTGCTTTCAGATTGGCATCACGCGCTGCCATGTGGTGAAGCCTCGTGTTATGGGCTCTCTGTTAGAGAGAGCTCCGTAGGTTGCACAGGATAATGTGGTTAGGATAGTTAGCTTGTTGAATGTGTAAGATTTGTCCTGCCTTCTACTTCATTACATGATCCACTCACGAGATGTACTGCTTTGCTGAGAAGGAACTACTAAAAGCTGAAAACGGCATATTCTGGCATTCATTTTGTTAAGAGTGGTGTTTGCACTATGTTCTACAATCTGTAAAATGAAGCAATTATCGGCAAATCACACGTTGTGAGCATTTTGATGACAGATTCCATTTTCATTTTTATAGACATATATTTAGTCACTTATTTACTCTTTTACCATTTTCTCACCATCATAAATGTGCCCACAGTGACGATTTCAGTGCAGAATCCTAATAAAGTGTTCTCATAGTCGAATGTGGCATCTGTATTTTTCATTCCCAAAGAAACTCTTGGTACAGTCCATGGTGATATGAGGCATTTTATCCATCATTTCATAACTTCTACTCAATACTGATATACAAGATATGAAATTAAGTAAAATCATCACTTTCGGGAAAATACATCAGAATCATGTAAGTATGATTGAACTTGTAAACGCTTCACGATGTCTTGTTAGAACATATATTGTGACTGACAGTAAACCAATCCTATCATTACTTTTTTAATATTATTAGATAATATTAAATATAAAAAATAATATTCAAAGAAAAACTTTCACCATTACTCATCAAAAGCTCGGGCTTCTAAGTCCATCAAAAGCCCGAGCTCAAAATCTACGAAAGTGAGTTACAAATTAAGTAGTAAATGCTCTCAATGGATTCACATCGAAACGGATAAACCCTGAATTCTCATGTCCTTTCTTCACTTGCCCTTAGAAGCTCCTTGTGAAAACCCTAATTTTCAGGGCGACGACTTTCTTTAGCTGGTTTGCGACTTGGTAAGTGGAGGCAACGAATCCTGTGTGCTACATGGTCCAGATCTGATGAACTCAGAGCATTAGTATCCGCGTCGACAAGTGAAGGCGAATTAAGCTTTACTAGGCCTTCTGACTCACTTGCAGGATTGTGCTGTCAGAATTGGGGCGCCCTCCGGAGAGGAGACGGTGGGGGAGCAATATGACCTGTCCCAGCTACTTCCTCCAACCCTTAACTCGGCTGCTTTGAATCCTCCAACGCTGAGCACGTGCATCGAACAAGAGTCATGGTCCGAAATGGTGGCGATCAACTACTCTGAACTTACCCATAGGGTGGGTCCTTCGATAGAGACAGAGCCGACCGGCCCCACCGAAGGAGCCAGCGGAGCAATACCTTTGTGAAGGGCAATCAACTGGGTGCCGTTAAATGGTCCAGACTATTGTCTAGCACTAACCGACTAGAACGGGTTCCAAAATAGAACAAAACCGCCACGCATCGTCACAACATTCAATATGTTGGAATTTCCGTATATTCTTTTCCCTAAACTGAAAGGTTGAATAACCTTAATCGCTTTCGTTAGTGATATTCCATACTCGAGAAACTGTCAACGTCGCCTTCGAACCGTAGGTGGTCCCTGAATACCGAAAAGTTTGCATATACAACGTGTGCAGTGCGAGGTGGAGACGGATGGAAATTTTAGTGGGTGGCAACAATCTGTGCAGGTGGCGAGTAGTTGAGAGTTAATGTGGCGATTTTCTTCTATCGAAAATTTTAAGTCGGGTGAAATTTCGTCTGCCACGCGCTGTAAATATGGAAGAGGACGATGAACGCGATAAAAAAACTGAAAAGGAAGGCCAGCTGTGGGCGGAATGGAAGGAACATGGAATGGCAGCCTTCGAACGGAGATTCGAGAGAGCCGCTCTGGCCTTGAGAGCGTGCCGCACTTGGCAATTCCGGTTTGCGAGGCTGGCCTTGACGTACTTTTCGCCGGCAGCGTCCAGGGAACCACGACCAGCGCCTACAATTGTGCCACTCCAACTTATGAATGCTGGTTGGCCAGCCTCCGAGGTGATTCCTTGGAAGTCCTGCACTCAATCTGGGAATCGGACTTACGTGGTTGTTTCATGGATCGTTCCGTATATTTCTCTTTTTCCTCGCTCTGTCTGGCATCTGGAGGGGCCATCGCGGTTTGGTTCCACTGTACAAGATGTGCTTGCCTCGTAACGTCCTTTGCAATGCCAGATTTGTTGTGTGCAGGTCGTGGTGGATTTTGTTTTACCTGGATTTTGTGTCTAAGTAAGAGCTAGTTTTAATGGGAGTTAGCGAAATTCTGTGAGGAATTCTGTTTGAGTGATATCGTCAGGTTCGTATGATGAGTGATTTTCTGAGTTTTTTTTTTTTTTTTTTTTTTTTTTTTTTTTTTTTTTTTTTTCCATTGCTTTCAGGTGCTGGTGATAGGTATTTGTCAAAATTTTGTGAGAGCAGCGATGGAGCTGCGAAGCGCTGTGAATTAGTGGTGATGTGTGCGTTTATGTGTGTGTGCGTGCATACACATGCATACAAACATATAGATATACGCACAAGTAAAACGTATTGGATCTAGACAATTGTCATTTCGATGTTTCTTCATTTTTAAAGTTTGTGTGTGTCGTGTTCCGCATAACGTATCGACTAGATGTGAGCCAAATCCAACTTTTATGGATGTGATGAAGTATCTTAGGCGGATTGGTTTGAAGCTCCAGGGGGATTAACTTTGTTCTCTGGTAAAGAGAGGAATTAGTGACGTTTAAGGGAGCTTGAATTTGAGTTTACGAACAAGATGTGGATGCATAGAATGCCTTTATTCTTAAAAGTGCGCAGAAAGTTGTTTCAGGAAAGGAGATTGCGACTCATTTCCTGGGATGTCGTACTTGGTCGTGTTTGTTTCTCTTTTAAACCGTCGTTTGTTTGATAGAGAGGTCTTGTTGTAGACAAGTAATCATTGACCTCGTATAGTTCTTACGGATCGAATAAATTGCACCTCTATTAATTGATCTTAATCCTCCGAATGGTGATCTATTGGTTCATTCTGCACCAAGTTCGGGACAATGAGATGCTAAGGAGCTATGGTTCGGGTGTATAATCGTTAGCTATGAGGGGCATTTTTTACTACCTTGAGAGGTTGGGCAGCGGCGTGGAAATGGCCTGGAAAAGCCCACGTCCTGACACAACTGTACATTGGAGTTCTAACGGCCTGCTGAATGCTTTCATCGAAGTGTTTGTAGCATTTCTAGTGCTGATGTGCACTATCCTTAACTTCTTCACTTCCTCCTTCATTCGATTATCTGGATTGCACATTCCTTGTTCTTGCTGTACGCATTATCAGAAAGGAGTTTCAGGAAGTTTAGTCGAAGAATCTAAATACTCATTTGCATCGCCGAAGTTGAAGTCAATTGATACTCCTGTTGCAAGTGATGCCTGCTTGAACGGTTTCCATCGAAGTGATGAATGTGTCAGGGAAACCGAGTTGAAAAAGCCCGCATATTTGTCCCTGGGCTGTAATTTAGTAGGGGGCACTCTTGGCGAGTCTTCGTTAGATGATTTCAACTACCGAAGTCAAGAGGATGTGGACAGGGAGCAGTATGCGAAAGCTCAAGAGCTGCTGCGCGCTCTTCAGTCGGAGAGTGAAGTCATGGCTGCTCTCTACAGCGAGCTGGAAGAAGAAAGGAATTCTTCCGCAACAGCTGCGAGTGAAGCGTTAGCTATGATCTCGCGACTTCAAGAAGAGAAAGCAGCTGTCCAGATGGAAGCTCGGCAATTTCAGCGGATGGTAATGGAGAAGGCCATGTACGATCAGGAGGCGATTGAGGTATTATCAGAAATTCTCGCGAAACGCGAGGATGAAAAAATTGCATTAGAAGAGGAGCTCGAATTGTTCAAAGAGAGATTAGACACTGTGCTGACGGAAGAAAGGGATTATGCTGAAAGAGTGGGGAGGGATTATGTCCCAATGCTGTTACTGGAGGGAGCTCCTGCGGATGAGAAGTCAACTTCTCCAAAATCTGAACGAGCAGATCCTCCGGTGTCAGGGAGAACTACTCCAAATGGAAGGATCTCCAAGGATGGAAAAATTACTCCCGATGGAAGACCTGGGAAGGATGGGAAAATCACTCCGGATGGGAGACTCGGGAAGGACGAGAGAATTACGCCAAATGGGAGGCTCGCGAAAGAGGAAGAAGTAGAATTCCTGGATAGACTCTACAAGACCAAGAGCCAGCTGCTGACTGCTTTGTTACAGGAAGGGATTCATGAGACTACGAGCGCTTTGGAAGAGTCAGCGAGCTTCGCTAATGAGATCCATAAAGCGATGGCCAAAGTCCCTGCGAGAGCTGAAAGTCCTCCAATACTGGATCACGAAAGTCATAAATCTCCATTGGGATTGGGTCCGATCAAGACAGGTCGTGAAATCGGTTTGCCGATCCCTCCTGCAGTTACTAAGAAGCAGATTGCGAAAGCACCGTCGAATGATACAGGAAAATCCACAGACGAACCCGTGTATGTTAGCCGTAAGCCCGCTTCTACCATCACCAAGAACCAGATTGAGAAGGTACCAGCGAAGGATGGCGATGATCCTGTCTTAGTCAGTCGCAAGTCAACTCCTGTAATCGGTAAACAGACAGATGAGGTGTTAACAAAGGATGCTGAAAATGCTGCTGCTGGGCTCGTCTCAGTGAGCTGTGATCCAACTCCTCTTATCCCTAATAAGCATGTTGAGAATACGAAGAGCGCTGAAATAGCTGCTGATGAGCCTCGGTGTATTGCTCATGAGACTGCTTTGCCTATAATTCCCTCTGTAGTCGCCAGGAATAAAACTGAATCGTCATTAGGGACGAAGACTGCCGGAAAAGGACCTGATGAGCGTGTGTATATCAATCGCGAGACTAGTCTCTCAATTCTTCCTTCTGCGGCTGTTAAGATGCAGAATGAGAGAATATCAGTGAAGATTGACCGAAGATCTACTGACGAACCTTTGTTCGCCAGTCTGAAGAGAAGGTGGAACGCCCGTAGTTCTCAGGAAATATCTGCAGGAGAGGCTTTAGCGAAAGCGAAGGAGGATAGACGTATAGAAGAGAAGAGGTTGTCAGTGTTGGAGTATGTGAGGACTTTGGAAGAGCAACTTCAACAGCAAGCAGGGAGGCCCGCTGTCCAGATTTCTAGAGCAAGAAGTGTCGACGGGAAGGAGGAAGATGCTAGACTTAGAAGTTCTGGTCAATTTGAAAGATCTGTTTCAGTAAAGTCAGAGAATACAGGCGGAGCTGAAAGAGACGAGTCAGTCCAGCGAAGGCTCTTCGCAGATGGAGATTCTGTGGACAAAAAGTTGCTCGTGAACTCTATACAAGATGGGGGAGTTTACAGGGTTTATTCGCAGCCTAGCAGTTTGAATGCTGGCAACGACAGTAAGCCCACGGTGGACGGAAATGGGTTCCTTGTTAATGCCCGAAAATCCGAAGATAGTGCTGAAGAAGCGTTGTTTGTACACGATGTCTATGAGGTACAGAGCTATCTTCGTGAACCTCCATCAAGGTTTTGCGTCTGAGTTGCAGGAATTATATGAGTCCATAAGTATCCAGTTAGCTGTATCAGACCGCTTAGGGAAGATGGATAAGCTTGATGTTGAGGAAGAAAAAATCAAACCACCCATGAACACAACAAGTTCTGTGAATAATGTCGCAACATTCCCGCATGGTTTATGACTCAGTGGTAATATTCTGAAGAGATAGAAAAGTAAGAAGATGGGTTTCCTCTCGTTTCCGATTTTCTCAGGAATGAAAATACTAGGTCTGTAGTGAGTGGATTGAACAAATGACCCATTGACTGAATGCATTGGACGCTGACAGGTACCTCATGAAGCAGAAAATTGACTTTTGAGAATGGAAAGAAAATCTTCTCGAAGTGATCGCCCAAAATTTGCGGGAGTAACCAGTTATGGAGCAGAGGGATGTGAAGCTTTTGGACTTCTTCCAGCACGCACTGCATTTTGAAGTACCTGCCCTAGCTTTTCATGCCTAATCCATTTTTCATAAAGTCTAAACTTTCTTGTCAAAAGATGTTCAGAATTTGGTGATTTGGAATTCCGAGAGCAGAGTCTGAGCTGCTTTTTTTTCTTTTAGTTCAATATCAACTTTTCTTCGCTTAAAATGTGCTACTCTTTGGAGTTGTTCCCACAATGGAATTAATTCTTTCATGGAATTGTGGCCTCATAATCTGTAGGTTGGAGTTGCATATGCTCGTCCAAGGAAACTTAAGAGGCGTACGATCAACAGTACGTTAAGAATATCTTCATGTAGACTTGGCACACATAGCTCAGAGCTCACTTGTGACTCTTTCTGGTGGATGCGTTAGCTCTACTTTAGATAACCTTCCAGATCCTTTTGCTGGTGTATGTGTATGGAAGATTGAAAGGGTAAGCTGTACAAGTTTTGTATAATGAACAGGATCTCATGATATACCCTCCTGGAAATGTTAACCTAGTTTATCCCCCTTTCACGAACCAAAGCTGGTCCAGGTCTTTTGCATTGCTGGAGTCATTTGTATTGGGGCACTGCATTGCTTTATTCAAGCACACTGAAAAACATTCATCCTCTGGAGATAAACATTTGTTTAGGATGAGTTCAGAAAGTCAGTCTAAATGTATGGATTTGCTTTGGGTCAGTAGCTTGTCACCTATTTGCTGTAGCTTAGCATTATTTTTGTTCTCTAGTTTCATATGTTGATGAAGGCTTCAACATTTCACCACCAATCTGGGCATGTGATAGACCCTTACTGTTCCTATCCAGTAAAAAATAGCCTACCACTTGTGCAGATGCATGTTAAGTTCATAATCAAATCACATTTATGAACATATTCTGGAATATCTTGTGATGTTGACACCATATCACATCACAATTCCCACACTTAAAGCTGCAAAACATGCCATATTATCCCTAAGGTAAACTCATTTACTTTCACTTCCTTGAAACCAGTGTAGTGCACACTTTTTGATGCACTGCTGAAACCAATAGCAGATGGTAACAGCAATGTTAGCCTGTTATTGGTGCGTCAAATCAAATACAAGCCACATCACAATGTCCATCAGCATTTACTGTTGTAATATGAGTGAACAGTAGAGAGCTCTACATTGCTAAAGCTGATCAATCAAGGAAACAATAGCATAACATTATTATTCACATCAAACATGTACCCATATTGAATTGATTTTTGTGCACAAGCACAAAGGGTCTATTGGACACTACAGTGAAAGAGTTATTTCTGATCCTGGGGAAGGATGGCTTTGCAATTTAGAGGCATTTCTAGGCATTTTATGCCTAGAAGCCACTTTGAAAGGTCATGGTTCAAAAGCTTTATTAAGGTCTTGTCCTTGGTAAAAAGAAAAAGAAAAAAATGATGGTAGAAATCTTGTTCTTTTAGATATCATATAAAGTAATATAAATAAATAATTAGGACTTTTAGAACTTTTATGATTTATAAAGATACTTAATGTTTAAAGAGTGATTTGAAAGCACAATATTTAGTGTACAAAACCACAAGCCATGTTTGTTGTTGTTGTTGTTGTTGTTGTTCTTCTATTTCTTTTAAGAAGAAATAAAAAATAAAGATATAATTAAAGTTAATAATTTACAAACATTCAAATATGACTTATGATAAATGTTTGCAATACTATGGAAGAGATACTTTTTAAGTTATAACTTAAATAGTTTGATGGAGATTCTAATAAATTATAGAGTTGAATTTGGAAATTGTAATTTTTTTTTACTTGACCAAAAAGATAGGAAGCCATAGTTAATTATTTTTATTGTAAGTGAGGTCCATCAAAGGATTATTTAAGAAATTGTGCAAGTTATTTTTATTTGTACCAAGCATAGAAATGTAGAAATTCACAAAGATGTGGTATAAGTAGAGATAATATATTTTAATGGTCATTTTATTATTTGCATGTTTTGCAAATAATAAATCACCTACACATTAAAATTTTCAATTGCTCATGCAATTGACTAAAGGCATATGATGACCTTTAATATTAAGTAAAAAACTCAAAATATAAATTGCAGCATATATTTGTATCTTCTAAGTACAGGATGTTAATTTTAATACAAAGCATGTATAGAATTAATAATCACCATTTTATAATCAATCTCTTAGAATGTTAACTTGGGTCATCTTCAAAGGTCTTTAAGACAAATTTCTCAAAGTCTTATTTTAAGTGGCAACCAATATAGATCAAGTTTTAATAGAAAATAAAATAATTTCAACTTAGAAAAAAAAAACCTATTTTTTATTCTTAATTTAAGAAAATGATATAAAATAGGAGTAAAATAAATAAAAACTTATATAAAAAAATAAATTTATCATAATTGAATTTTAAAAACTAAAAATTAAATTAAATTTTTTAAAATAAAATAATATTAAATTAAAGATTGTGAATAAATAGTTACAATGAAGATTAGAGAAAGAATAAATATTTTTAAAAAATAGAATAGACAAGTTGTTTAAGCAACCAAACAAAATGAATGCAAAATAATTCAAACATTTAATTCTTTTAGTAAAGATTTTTTTTTGCTTATAAGATATAAAAAATAATGTTTTAAAGTTATCAAAGATAATATAGTGCAAGAATAATGTTAAGTTTGCAATATATACTTAGATTTAGATACCAAGGTTTGTCCTACTTGACACTTCAAAGAAGCACTTTATATTAAATCATTATGTATGAACTGAAGTAAAATGGTATTTCTTTGTATAAAAATTTGACAATGATTTGTCCCTTCAAATAAATAAAACAATATACCATAGCATCAAATTACGTACCAACTAAAATTAATTAATTCTAAGATAGAATACTTCTTACATAGCTATGTGAAAATATATGCTCTTCAAGAAATAAATTAGGCTAATTAGAAGAATTTATAAGATAAGTAGGAATATTTTAAAGGCATCAAGGACCAATTGAAAGATATGACAATAGATGTGAAGGAAGCTTAAACAATTCATATGAAATAAAAATATCCAAAATATATCACTTTAATTAATTGATCTATTGAATATATTTATGTTAAGCATTGCCAATACTTCTTTTTCTATTAATCTTAATGATTCAGTTATATTAATTTATAGTAAGAGGAAAAATAGATTTAGTAAAAGCAACGAAACTCTCATACTATTTCCAATATCATAGCTTCCAATATTTAATTAATTTGTAGTTTTTAGAAGAGAAGATTTAAAACTTTTTTATAGATTAGAAGATAATAAAACTAGTTTTATAAATTTCAATAATTGCTTTGGTATGAAATTATATATACTTTCATATAACATTAGAATAATAAATTATCATAAAATAAATATTAAATTTATAGGTTGCATTGATAGCATTCAATATAGACCACTCATATAATGTAAACATAAGTTTTATAGTACAAGTATAAAAATTATCAGATATGGCATTGTGAATTGATGAAAGATATAAGAAATTCTTGATGGATGTTTCAAAATTAAGTTCAAAAGAATAGTTTCAAAAGGCCTTGGTATTAAAATGTATACATATTAAATATATAGCAAGAACATAATTAGTTATAGATTGATACTATAAACAACTTCTTTCTCTACTTACAAAGGATTTGTAGAAATAATTAGAATATAAATATAATTATATATATAGAAGGAAAATCTTCTTATTATGAAATAATATTATCATAAAATAATCTAAATTATTTACATCTAAATATAATTCTTAATTTATAAATTTGATCTCAAGAAGAATCTACATAAAGTTTTGGTAGAAAAAAAAATGAAATAGACTTGAGATTTTAGCAAGATTAGAAAAAAAAATAATGTAAGTTTAAAATTTCTATTTTTGAATATGATTTTGAAAATAATGGAGCTTTATTGCTTGATGAATTTTACACTCAACTACTACAAAACAATTTATAAAAAAATAAATTTTATATGAATTCTTATTTTTTAATGGTATAGAAATATTTAATTAGAAATTAACTATACAGATTCGTGCTAACAAATTAAGATATTTTTTAAGTAGACTTTAAAAATTCATTATATTTTATAAAAAATTATGACAAAAAAAAATTTTCTAAAGCAAGAGATCTGATGTTGATCTTAGAAGGGGAGTTTTATAAGGCACATGATACATTGCTAGAAAACCTAAAAAATAAAATAATACAAATGCTCTTAAGAATATCCAATTTAAATTATTTCATATGATAGAATAAAGTTATAAAGACCAAGAGATACCACCTTAATCTTAATAAAAATTAATTGGAGGTAAAATCTCTGGGTAATTCTTTTAAGTTAAAATAAATAAATATTTTAGAATTAATATTACAAAGTTTAATTAGGAAAAAAAAAATTAAAACATAAATAAAATCATTTAATGAGTTCCTTTTCGTTATATTCAAAATCTTATTACAAAATAATAAAATTTAGTTACTAATTTATAATATCAGAAAAAATAAAAAAGAGTAAGGAATATATATATATATATATATATATATATATTGAAAAATTTACTTAATTTATCCACATATTAAAAATTCTACTATAGAAGGATTGCTAATTATGTGCAGATTAAGAGTTCTTTTTAAAGATGATATGTTCGATACTATTAAAAATATAGCTACAAAATATTTCCAATTTCTTGAAGAAATCGGAATTAAATATTTTAAAGACCTTTAGAATGAAATCAGTTAAAACTATAAAAACATGATCAATGATGTAATATTTAAAGAAGGCCTTTCTACTACAAAAAATTGAAGAAGGTATTTTATTACTTTAGAAAGGCAAAGATAGATCTTATTAGGATAATTGGAGACCAAAAACCTTTTTTAATCAAACATGCAAGACATTTACAAGCATGTAAGAAAAAAAAACTACAATCAAGACTTACGGAAATTATAAATCCAAAGTCAAGTTTTTTTTTTGTTTTTTTGTTTTTTTTTTTTTTTTCTCTCTCTCTTTAACTACTTTGTTTTATTCAAGAGAATATATCAGTTCTACAAGAAACCATTAATCAAATTAAGAATTAACATAATACATTCTTCTATTAAATAGAAATGTCTTAAATGCTCACAAAAATGTCACATGAATATTCTTTTATTGAATCATAGAAAAATTGAGGATTTATCAATAATTTATAAGTTTTGTCAAAGTATTGTTACTTTGAAGATGTAAAAAAATTATTATTACAGGAAAACTAACTAAAATTTTAATATTTAATAATAAATAAGAAAATTGTATCTTATAACATTATAAAGGTTTTAAACATAGCTTTACAAGTTACAACTTAAAAAATAAATAATCAAAAAAATAGATCATTAAATAAAGATTTTAAAAAGGTAATAAGACAATATAAATATGACTTAGTTTTAACAATAAAAAAATTAAGAAAATAGAATAAATAAAATAAAGACTCTAAATCAACAGAGCGTAGTATCTAATTTACAAATAGATCAATAACTTTTTTGAATACATTGATTAGATAAGAAAGCACTACAATTAAATTAGAAAATAAAAATTTATTTATATAAGGGGAAAATATTATATTTTATAATTTTATTTATTTATTTATTGATATTTTTTTAATCATTAATTTTTACTTCTAACTTAGAAAAATTCCTAATAGATTTGACCAAAACAAAATTAGATTATTGGTGTCTAACTTGTCTTAACGAGTTAAACAAAAATAATTAATCACATCTTGTAGTGATTGTTATCATACTTTATATCTATCTGATTTGGATGTTTTAAAGCTGTTTTATTATATGGTCTATGTTCTAAAACTTTCATAGTGTAAATCTTAATTTATAATAAGAACTAATTTTGTCAAGTAAACATGTTGTAGATGTAGATTGAGATAGAATTTTGGCTTAATTAATCTAAAAGAAATAAAAATAGCTTTCTAATAAAAGTATATTATTAAAAAAATAATTAGAGGACTCTAATGCTCAAGATTTTATCAAGCACAGACTAATAGTAGCAAAACCAATTGTGAAAAGAAAATAATAGATTGATTTTACATAGATACTTGGAATCAATTATAAATAATATTTTAGATAAAAAGAATTGTTAAAAATAGAGAAGAAAAAATGATAAATAGTACAATTTGTAAATTTGAATTATTCTAGTTCATCGTTCATTGTCTATTGGAACAAAAATAATTAGTAGAGGAATTTGTTTTCTAATAATAAAAAAATCTTTAATATGTAGAACAATATTATACTTAAAGGGCTTTAATGGATACATAATACACACAACTACAATAAAATGATTCATGTAGTTTACAAATATAATTAACAAATCTTAGCTTAAATTCCAAATAATATAATTAAAAAAATAAAAAAACAATAGATTTTTTTTTAATTTCTTAGATTGATATATTCTAATAGAATTGTTTTTAAAAACATAAAAATAAAATCATTATATTTAAAATAAATATACTAAAAATTTATATATACTTTAAAAAGTAATAACCAATCTATTAGCTCTCTACAAAATTAAAAAACTTATGCTATTAGTCCTAAGTAATACCAAACTCTAAGAATTAGAACAACAATTAAAATCATAAGAAAAAATAATGGTCATTTTAAATAAATTTAGGCCCACCAACTTAGAGATTTTTAAAATTTAAAACAAACAATAGAAAGATTTGTAAAAACTATCAAAATAATTTGCATTATCAAAAATAAACAAAAAGTCTAGTAGATTTTAATTTTTTTAAATCAATAAATAAATTCAATTTTGATTTTAATTATATTCTTGGTTTTTGGAAACTTTAATTATACATTATTCATATCAATGAATATAAAAACTCACCTTTATATGTCCTTCCTTGGTCTTCTTTGGTATCTCTTTGTATATGGTGTCTTATGTCTCTCAACTAAGTTGTTAAAATGACATAACAATTAAAAATTTCATTACTTACATACCTAGGCATTAATAAAAATTCAAGTATAGATGAAGTTAAGGTTTTTTAAAAACCTATCTAGGAATTATAGTTATGTTTATTGCCTTTGAAATTATATTGGTCACAAAATCTTCACTTTTCTTGCCTTATTTGAAAGACTTTCTTATATTACAAACTTATAAATCATATATCATTGAAAAATTCTTAAAAATCTCTCTAACCTCACATATAATGGGTATTCACATATATATTAAAAAACAAAATAATGAAATGTGTACACATTGAGAGATCTACTACTGCCCTTAGCAAATTTATCCACATTGTTGCAACAATACATCCAATATATCTTTACATGTATAGCATCTAATGATGCTCTTACTATGGAACTAGGACCCTTTCATAACCTTGACACAGTTAGCTGAAGACACAACTTATCGAAAAAATCCATGGTATTTTCAGCTCCAGCGAAATTGTGAGAGGAATTTATGTAACAGAATACTCATGAGCAGGACATAACAAAAAAACATCTAGGAAAAATGTTGCACCTAACTGACAACAGCTCGGAAGATTGAGTAGATCTTCCAGGAATAAAAAAATGAAAAAAAAACCACAGTAATTGCACAAAATTATCCTCTATCAAAAGCATGGTCAGACAGTGACCAACAGTTATTGGACACTCAGCACATTGGAAATTCTGTCATAGACAAGATTGAGAGTATAATCCACTGGTGGTGCAAACAATAAGTACTAGTATAACAGGTGTGCTCAATAACGCCTTGGTCCCTTCACTTAAAGAAATCAAACCATACGAAGTTGCACGCCAAGTTGAGAGCTGGGGTGTTGATCTCAGCTTTCCACCAGGTCAGTAAATCAAATAGTCGTACTGGACATGCTCTGAAGCTAATGAAACCAGCACCAAGGACTCAAGGAAGCTTTGAGCACCATCATCCCAACGTGGCTAGTCATCCTTACCCTGTTTCTTCCCCTAAATTACATTGCCGCAATTTCCATATCCTTCAATTAGACATGATGCCACTTGAAAAATGGATAAACTCTCCTCTACAGTGGGTAGGCAAAAGGCTTTGAAGTCCACAATCAAATCAAGCTACCAGTTCGTGGATGCACCATCAAATGCCATGACATATCCCCATGAACACTTGAGGTTCATTCATCCAAGGATCCAATGCATACTGAGGAACCAATATCTCTAAGTATCACACCTTAACTCTTAAATGAATGACAAAGGCAGTACGAGTATGATGATGCAATATAAAAACAAGCTTCACAGATGTTGGTCCAGTTGATGAAACACAAACTGAGAATAACGTCTTGATTGAAGCATTCATGCCTTGAACGTCATAAAGAATTCGTTTTGGAAGCAGCAGGATCATGCCCTGCTGCTACCAGCGCATCTGCAACACGAGTGGCCTGTTCAGTCCCTTTCCCCGTGATCCATGTACCTGGCTGATGCTTGAGCGGAAACAAAACATGTAGCTGCTTAATAATAAGCTCAAAACTTGTGAAGGTGATCACTGCTGCAGGTATGGTTCTCATCAGGTTTGTAGCATATCCCCGATAAAACCCAGCGAGACCCTCCTCAACGGATACTTTCTTGATACAATCGACAACCCCTGCATACCTGAGTTGCACTAACTTTGAGTGGCCTTGTTCTTGGAGCCTTGACCTAACTACCTGCAGTGAAGTAAAATCTCTTACATCAATCAAACCGACAAGAAACAACAAGAAGCAACTAGCAGGAACCACGACAGGAGATCACCAAACATGACACTAAGCCCATTTAACATTATGCCACAAGACAAAGTAGCGATTACCTAATGTAAAGGGTAAAAAGTCGCACCTCATGAGGGTAAGTAAGCGTAGAGGCAATAAATTTCGAAAGTGAAGATGCAAATGCTACATTAAGTGGACTTAATTCCTCCACAGATGTCTTATCTAACACAATGACAGGCCATGGTTAAGGAATGTGTAGAAGAAACTACCATGTTTCATCGCAACCACACACTCTTACTTTTTGTAAGAAATATCTACCTCTAGAGGGAATAACCGAAGCAGCTTCTAATCCAAATCTATGTTCCACAAAATGAGAAAAGTGGAAAACACGAAATCACTGAAGCCACAAAATAGAAACATACCTCTGTTAGCAAAAAATTCCTTCAGGTACTCGTATGCAGGGAATTGTATGGCCCCGTGGCTAATTCCTGCCAAGGCCGGCACCAGTCCACTGCTCAAGACAAACACCATGATGTTTATTCATATCAAATGTCTCATACTGCTCATCCCTAAAGAAAAGAGCAGCAACAACAAACTCATGGGCACAGATAGACCCTGGCATTTGAAATTTGAAGATGAGATCCCCTGTTAGAATACGCTCAGATTAAGCACCTAGAAGCATTCAACAGGTATCAACTTGGCACCTGTACAACCCTCGAACGCCCTCCTCAGCAGCTATGCGGCGAAGAGCAGAAAATGTACTCTTGTATGGCACTATGTCTGATCTTAAACGTTGTGTCTGCACATTACGCAATATTATATACTCATCAATCAATATCATCACCTCATCAATCGGCCACTCAAGTACACTATCCACTCATTGTCCTAGAAAGGATTTCGTTCCAATTTCAATCAAGCTGTAACCAAAGGAAGTTCACGATTGCTGAAGTTTAACTTAGAGATCACATTCAAAAGATCTCACCTGCAGACGGGTTTTAACCACCCATAGGGGGTTGGTAACCAAATTAGTAGCTACCCCAGCTCCCGAGGCCGCCACTAAAGTGGTACCTATAGGCATCCTGTGAAGAGTGGTGTGATCTGCACCCATTTATTAACAATGTGAGTAACGATCCACACTAAAACATTAAGGTCCAAAATATTCTAAGAACCACTTCCCAGGTATGCTCCAGTCAAATAGAACATTTGCTTCGTAACATTTTCTTAGATGACATGTTCATCTAGAAATATTTGAGGTGCGAAAAGATGCATCAGTCAAAAGCTTACGACAACAAAAGACCCATCAAATATGGGTTGTGAACAAGCTTCGACACCTCGCGAGGAACAAGAAATTCAATAGAAAATTAGCTACTTGCTGAAACCTCTGAATCAATAAAAGAAGCAAATTCCAATGAAATTGTCAGTCAAGTCAAGTCCTGCAACGATGTCAACCTCGTTAACTGAAAGGCTCACCAGCATCGTGAAGTTCCTCGCTTTGTAGCACCCTTTTGAGATGCTCGTAAACTGTGAAATAAACCTGGACAGCAAGCCTCCTTTGTCACGATTCTTTTAAATTCAAAACTTCTAGAACCTGGTAATGAAAGAAACTGAACGGATAAACCTCACTTCAATCCTACGTGTAGCTGTCGAGCTAAAGCAGGCTCCCAAGCCACAAGGACAATCATAGTATATCAATGATGTATCGTACTCATTCTAAGAGAACGATAAGAGGGAACAGATAGAGACCGTCCAGTTCGTGAGCAAAGCCACCATAGTTGGTGACAGACCAAAATAAAGACCTCTGGGACCCTCATCTCTTAAGATTTTCGACAAGATTCCGATTGTTGTCCAACCTGCGGCATCCAAGTGCTGGAAATCGTAAGTCGCCTTGATGTAGTTAACGCCTAGACTTAAAAACGAAGCAGGGATAACATGCCAATGTACTGTTTTGTTCTATACTCGTCGCCAGAAACCTCTATTTTAAGATGAAAAGCACCAAGCTTTTGAAAATGAATCGGATAATCGTAAGAATAGAAGTGCAACTTTACGATCTACCTTTTAGGGGCCCCTCAGAGTTTAAAATCGGCCGATTAACCTGCAAACGAGTCTTCACCACATCGAGAGGAGATACAAAAGTAGCGGAAATGATTCCTGCACCCATCCAAAGGCAGATGATTACATCCAAGTTGCACTCATTCCCTGCATTGGCGTAATATGAGAACCACCCTCCCTGATCGTAGACCACGCTTTCACAACAGAACCCAGATTCAGATTAGTGACTTAATATTTAAATTATACCGAGTTAAGCCTGGACAGTCCCCGGACGACAATTACTTCATCACTCCAGCCTGAAAAGTGGAAAGGAAGCAACACACAATCCATGAAATCCTCAGTAACCCAGACGGCCAAAGTTATCAACACATCCCACATCCAAGGTATTCCCTTCCTATTCTCCACGTACGAATGCTTCCAGCAACTAAACAACTAAAAGAAAATCATACACAAAAAAATTAAACGCCCAAAGGTATAAACAAAACAATGGGAAAATGAAAGCACCTGCGCCAGCCCCTGCCGCGCTGTTGAAAATGATGGACCGCTGCTCCTCTGGCATGGCGTCCAACAGCAATTTCCTCCCTCGGCAGCTCCTACGCACGATCTACGAGACACCTGTCCAACATATCAGTCACCGCAGCAGGGCATAAGCCACGCTCAGCACAGGAGCGTTGAAGCCGTCGGTGCGACCTCTTCGCAGCACGGCAAAATGCATCCCACCACAACACATATCACCCCGGATTCTTCACAGAGAACCCCTAGTTTGCATCGACACATTTCAACAAACGCCGCGACTCAATTAGTCCCTGTAGCTCCGCTAGAACCGAGCCAGGCGAGAGGAGGTGAGACGATGCTACTGTTTCTTCCAATGCTTCCAGGCATTCACGTAGCTCGCAGAAGTCCGACTCTACAAATACCCACTCGCTCTATGCTACTCCTGCTTATCGTCTTGCTGGAAAACTACGGAAGTTCGACGAACCCACATAAATCTTCTGAATCTTGCTCCGTCGCAATACAGTTCGAGGTAGACGAAAACATTCGGTTGGTGTGGAGGGTTAACGATGCCGACACATGTTGAGGGAAGAACAGGGTGTAGGAACAAGGGAAGTGAGAACAGGGCGGATTGGAATCTCCGCCACGTAGGACTTGAATATGACCTACGTCGAAAAGCAATTGATCTACGTGGACCCTCCCCGCCGTGCAGAATCAGAATCAGAGTGGACGTTCTGTCCGGGATTCAGTCATCATGAGATTCAGCGCCGAGAAGTTTACTTTGTGTCAGATTTAAAGATTGAATAAATGAGAATGCAAATAAAAATGTGTATATATGGATCTACGTACATTTAAAAGATTGCTATTGCCACTACAATAATTCTCATCCATTTCAAATTACTTATTTTTAAACATTTAAATCCTTACTTAAATACTTAGAGGCGCCATAGTAGAGACTAATTACCATTCAAGTAAATACCCAAGCTCAAGATTAAGACATATATAAAGTGCCAAAGTTTAGACCAAGAATTATTTAAGAGGTTGTTTAGAATTTGGATAAGGGGATACTTCTAATGTTGTCTTTTTTTTTTTTTTTTTTAATATGATTCTCTAAATTTTTGTGATAATTCACAACGGAATATCTTTACAGCTGACCTAAACTAAACAGTGAACACCAACATTGTATTGTAATTCTAATTAAAAAGTAATGATGTTTCTTGGGAAATTATAAATATCCTTTTCGAAAATTGATACAGTGCCATTTTTTTACATAATAAAAATCAACCCACCCATCTTCATTTTTCCAGAATCCAACTATATTTTCATTTGATTAAGACCAATACGGATAGAGTAGAGAATTCTTGATGATGGTAGAGATGGGTGGGTCAATTTACTAAAAACTTGGGCAGGTCCACGATTTCCTTCTCATATCGTATAGTATTGTAGGTCAGATGCACATGAACTGATGTCCCTACTCCAAAAGTTGTTCAGGGGAATTCAATGGAAATTACAGCAAAATTGATCCAGATATTGAAATCGCTAATCATCAACCCACAGGCATGGAGGTGCAGGCAGTGTCGGCCACATCCAAAACGACACCCACAAGGACATCCGTGGGGGAAACGCAAGGCCCGCGGGGTTGCAGGGGATGCGAACCCACACAATAATTACAGAAGGTGAAAGAGGGAGGGAAAGACGATGCGCGGGGGTGGGCACTTCGTGCCCCGCAAGACAACCCCCCACCCACCACCGCTCAATCGGACCGTGAATTCCCTCGCTCACATCCAGCGCAGCGCAAGCAAACAAACAAACAAACCTTGGTGGCGTCGAGCAGGGGAACACGAGACGAGAGTGGAACGTCGGGGTTCCCGAGCGGGGCCCCGAAAGAGGAAGGTGCCATCCGCAGTCAGTTGGTCGGTCAGTCAGTCAGGCAGGAGTGAGTAGGAAGGAAGGACCAAGGCTCCTCCCACCGGCGCTCCCCTTCGCCAGTTCGCGTAGTGCCTGCCCCGCCTCGGCTAAAACCCTAACCCCCTCTCCCCTCCTCTGCTACCCCCCCCCGCAATCGTTGTCTCGTCATCCGCCCCAATTGGACCTGAGCCCAAGCCCGAGGCCGCAGGCAGACGGGTTGTCGATGCCATTGCAGATTTGCCCCTGACGCATCCCCCCCAATCTGCGTTGCGTTGGCTTCTGCGTTTCGTGGATAGGCGCTGCCAAGGTTTGTTCGCGAGAGTTTGAGGCGGAATGGCGTCTCGTGTGCCATGGCGTCGCAGTTTGTCGTTGCTCCAGCAGCGATCGGCGCAGGCTCTTGCTGCTCCCTGTCCTCCCGCGCATGGATCGTCTCTGTTGCACCGGTTGACGGGGAGGGCTCTGTACAGCTCCAAGGGAGCGGGCAGCGATGTCATCGGTATTGATTTGGGTACCACGAACTCGTGCGTGGCCGTGATGGAGGGCAAGGTGAGTCTTTTTTTCCCCTTTCTTTCTGCTTCTTCCAGTTAGGGTTGGGTTGGTCTGCGATGGGTGGGAGAATTGGTTTCAGAGTGAATCTTTTCGGTTATTTTGGAGACAGTGCATTAGCATGCGTGAGAATTCGCGTTGACGTGTTGTTGATCCGGTCGTGTGATTTCGAGACCTGTGCTGGATAGGCGTATGTTGGATTCCGAGTCTGATGGCACTCTTGTTGGTTTTCGGTACGTGTGCTGGTCTGTGAATTGGAACTAGCAGATGCCACGCGTGATTGAGAATTCCGAGGGTGCTCGCACGACACCATCCGTGGTCGCGTTTACGCCGAAGGGCGAGAGGCTGGTTGGCACTCCTGCTAAGCGACAAGCCGTGACGAATCCAACGAACACGCTGTTCGGCACCAAGCGCTTGATCGGGCGACCTTTTGACGATCCCCAGACTCAGAAGGAGGCGAAAATGGTGCCGTACAAGATTGTCCGAGCTCCGAACGGAGATGCGTGGGTGGAGGCTGGGGGGCAGAAGTATTCTCCGAGTCAAGTGGGAGCTTTCGTTTTGGGCAAGATGCGGGAGACTGCAGAGTCGTACTTGGGCAGGCCGGTGTCCAAGGCAGTGATCACGGTGCCGGCATACTTCAACGACGCACAGAGGCAGGCGACGAAAGACGCTGGACGGATCGCAGGGCTGGACGTGCTGAGGATCATCAACGAGCCGACTGCTGCGTCGTTGTCGTACGGTATGGATCGCAAGGAAGGGTTGGTCGCGGTGTTCGACTTGGGAGGTGGAACATTCGACATTTCTATTCTGGAGATTTCTGGTGGCGTGTTCGAGGTAGGGTGGTGACTTCTGCATTTGGGAATTTCCGGGTGTCGTGGTTTTTGTCGATGTTGCGGGAATTGCTGGGAATCTGGAATGGTGCGTTTTGCGCGGTGGGCGCAAGTTCGGTAGGTGGAGAGTCTGCGTGCTCACAGAAGAGCGGTGCATTTTAGGTTGATCTGGTGCGAGGGCTGCGTTTTGTGGCAGCATCGTTGTCGTTAGGAGTTTGTGTCGCTGTTGTGTGATTGTTCTGATGGATGGCGAGGTGGAACTGGAATGGCAGGTGAAGGCCACGAACGGAGACACCTTCTTGGGTGGAGAGGACTTCGACAATGCCCTCCTTCATCATCTGGTGGATGATTTTAAGAAGGAGCAAGGCATCGATCTTTCTTCGGACCGGATGGCGCTTCAGCGGCTTCGCGAGGCAGCTGAGAAAGCGAAGGTGGAGCTGTCATCTACCCCGCAGACCGATTTGAACCTGCCTTTCATCACAGCCGATGCGTCCGGGGCGAAGCATTTGAACGTGACGCTGACGCGGTCGAAGTACGAGCAGTTGGTGAACCACCTGATCGAGCGCACGAAGCAGCCTTGCAGGGACTGCCTGAAGGATGCAGGTCTGACCGCCAAGGACGTCGACGAAGTGCTGCTGGTGGGTGGAATGACGAGGATGCCGAAGGTCCAGGAGATCGTGAACAACATCTTCAGCAAGGAGCCAAGCAAGGGGGTGAACCCCGATGAGTGCGTGGCGATGGGAGCCGCCATTCAAGGTGGGGTGTTGCGTGGGGACGTGAAGGACATTCTTCTTTTGGACGTGACACCGCTGTCGTTGGGTATCGAGACGCTGGGAGGCGTGTTCACTCGTCTGATCACCCGAAACACGACAATACCAACAAAGAAGAGCCAAGTGTTTTCGACGGCGGCGGACGGCCAGACGCAGGTGGGCGTGAAGGTCTTGCAAGGCGAGCGCGAGATGGCAGCCGACAACAAGGTGCTGGGGCAGTTCGACCTGGTGGGCATTCCTCCGGCTCCTCGGGGCATGCCCCAGATCGAGGTGACGTTCGACATCGACGCGAACGGGATTGTGAACGTGTCCGCCCGCGACAAGGCGACAGGGAAGGAGCAGGCGATCACGATCCAGTCTTCGGGCGGCCTGTCGGAGGCGGACATCCAGAAGATGGTGAAGGATGCGGAGCTGTACGCACAGAAGGATCAGGAGAGGAAGGCGCTGATCGATGCGAAGAACCACGCGGACACGACGATGTATTCGGTGGAGAAGAGTTTGAACGAGCACAAGGAGAAGCTTCCGCAAGACGTGGTGGATGGAGTCCAATCAGCGTTGGCCGACTTGAAGCAGTCGGTGGAGTCGGAGAACGTGGAGGAGATCAAAGCAAAGACCAGCGCGGCTCAGACAGCGTCGATGAAGATCGGGGAGGCTTTGATGAAGAACCAGTCGGGAGGGAGTTCCGGATCTGGAGCGGCCGGTGGGCAAGCGGCGGAAGCCGAGTACGAGGACGTGAAGGAAGGGAAGAAGTAGGGGACGTGAGAGGCTAGTGCCGTAGGAATACCCTGGTGCGCGTGCCAGGTAGCGAGAACTGGTGTGAGCCGCAAGAGTTTTCTCCCACCGCGTGATCTACATGTGGAGAGCTTTTTGAGCCAAGACGGTGCAATTTTGGCGCGGTGAACGGGCGCACACCAGGGAAGCGCGTGGGGCAGAGAAGCCGGTGGATAGACCAGGATCGAGCGCTTTCGGGTGGCGGGCTTTCAGCACCAGTGTCTGCGTGGATTATGGTTTGGGCCGTTTCAGAGAAGTGCATGGCGTCGTAGACAGCCGAGCAGAGTATTAGAAGAGCCCCTGTTGTGGGGAGGATGTAGTTCCGTGCGCCGGTCGTGTGCAAAACGAGAGTAGAGGTACATGGATGAGTTAATCGACATGGAATCATAGCTTATTTCCTCTCTTCTGTCAAATGCTGGTTCTGAGCAGAGCTGAGTTTTTTCCTTGTGGAATGTGGAGGTTACTGTCGCACATTTTTCGACTGGGTGGTGATATCTCTCGGAGCTGCGAGTTCTTTCGTTGATATGCAATTTTTTATTGGGACTTAATAATTACTCTCATTTTGTTGGGATTCTTCTCCGAATTTGGTTCACCGTCGGCAGTGGTAGCCGTACTGGTTATTATGCGTGTTATGTCTATTCGTCCTACCTTCGCATTTTAGGGGAAAATTTAGTGAGCAGTCAGTTTTGAAGTACTTCGTCAAATGCATTTGTTTGCTACTTTAAGCACGGACATCAATCAACTAGTGCTCAATTCTATACAGTAGGACTTGTTGGTGGGTTTTTTATAGACAATATTTATTGCTATCATGAATTGTCAAAGGATATTATATCGGATAGAATTTATTTAAAAGCTTTTACTTAAAAACAAAGTGTTTAGATTTCAAACTATCTTACAAATTTGACACATTTTATATAGAATGAACTTCCCATCAAATAATGTGGAAAACCAATCAAAATAATATGCGCCATCAAAATAGTGATACAACATTAAATAAGTAAAACAAATCAAAGCTAGCAAAAAAATACGATTGTAGTGAATATAGATAATTTTCAACCCTCACTTGGAGATTAAATTTTATTTGAACAATGTAAAATAAGTTATTGAATATCTCTCACCAAGGCAATAGAATTGTCCAATCATCTTGATGATAATTGATATTATATCGGATAGGGGGACTCAATTTATATTAGATTTTGGAAAACCCTATTCAAAGTTTTAAAGATAGATATAAAGCTTTCTTTGGCTTTTTTATAATTTCATGTTTGTCATATGTTACAAAAATTAAAATATCAATATTACTATGCTAAAATATAAAAGTATTTATTTCATGTTACTCAAGTTAATTTCTTAGGATATATCATTTCAAATGATGAACTTATAATAGATCCTAAAAAAGTTTAAATTATTATAGATTGGAAGATTTCAAAAATAATAAGTGATGTTGAATACTTTTTGAGATTTCTCAACTATTATTAGATCTTCATCAATGACTTCTCTCAAACTATAGCTCTATTTATACGTTTGATTTATAAAGACAAACTTAAATAGAATTAAGAAGCAAAAATAACATTTGAAGCTTTGAAGACAACCTTTTATTTTTATACCAATTATGTCTCATATTGACTTTTTAAAGCCATTTTTTTATAGAAATGGATGTATCAAACTATATTTTTAGTTCTATATTGTTACAAATAGAAACCTATGATAAACTTTACTTAGTGGCTTTTTATTTCAAAAACATTTCAACAGCTAAGATCAATTATAAGATCTATAATAAAAACTTCTTGCAATAATGGATTTGTTTCAAAAATGGTGCTATTATTTAGAAGACATTCCTAGTTTAAAAAACTATGTATATGGATAAAAAGATCCTTAAGTATTTTATGTTAGTACGTATTTTGAATTTTTTTTAAGTATGTTGAAGCATGTTCTTGTTAAGATTCAAATTCAAGATCTTTTATTAATCACAAAAATAATAAGGTTTATTATACATACTCTCTAAATGATCTTACTTTGCATTAAAGAAAAGAAATGTTATTTTTGATAAAAAATGAATGATTTTCTTGAAACCAAAGTATCTTCATCTTTGAGAAATAAAACCAACACTAATTATTGATTCAACTTTCATTAAGAAACCTCAATTAAGTATGTCTTTTGATTCTCTTATTCATGATATTAAGAAAAATCCTATAAAGTTGCATGATACTTTCAAGTTTGAATTTATGAACAATCTACTATATTTTGAAAAGGTGAAGCTCAATTACATGTTTTTTTAAGCTTACCACAACTTTCTAATAGCAAAATATTTTGAATATAATATGACTTTGGAGCTAATATTCAAAGATTTTTGGTATCTCTAAATGTAAAAGATGGTCAAAGATTTTGTACAATCTTGTAATGTTTGCTCAAAATCAAAAACTCCTTGTTATCAATATTATAGACTTCTTTAGCCATTATCCATTCTAAAACAACTATAGTCTTTTAATTCTATTGATTTTATTATAAATCTTCCAATGTCAAGTTCTCATGTCTATATATTTGTGATAGTAAATTGTTTTACTTAGATGGCATATTTTATACCATGTACAAAATCTATCATAAGTGAAGAAATTACCAAGCTTTTTCTTGACAAGATCTATTGCTATCTATCAAAGATATGAATCTCAAAGAAAGAAAATATTCAATATATTATTATATTACTATAATGAATTAAAAAGTCATTCAAAGATAATATAATATTAAAATAGAATGGCTATTGCCAAAAATAAGAAGATTAGAAAGTCTTGAAATAAGACTAAGGACAAAAAATAGTGTTAGGAAGAGTGAAGAAAGCTTCACTCTTGCTTCTACATATATTCTTAACTAAGAGCTACATAGTAATATCCTATAGAACCTCCAAAATGTGTTGATTTTGTAAGACAGATATCTTAACTTGCAAGGCAAGTTTTCTATATATGCGCCATGTAGTTAGCTTGTTCCACAAGTTATCAACACATGATTAACTTGTTGACAAAGTTTGTAACCTATTTATCAATTATAAATATATGTAAAGTCAAATCAACATCTATAAAGCTTTCAAAAAGCTTTTCTAGAAGATATTATAAAATTAATATATTTTTATCTACTTTTATCTACTTTTATCTATTTCTATCTAATCATATAGGTATTTATTATTATATATATATATATATATATATCCGTGATATTACCTCTCTTTTTAGAGACAAGTTCTACAATGAGTGATCATTAAGTGTTGATGAAATCGAAGATGGAACAAATTATATATACCACATATTTAGATCTTTATTCTTTTCAAATATAATTTATCTATCTTTAAAACTTTGAATAGGGTTTTCCAAAATCTAATATAAATTGAGTCCCCCTATCCGATATAATATCAATTATCATCAAGATGATTGGACAATTCTATTGCCTTGGTGAGAGATATTCAATAACTTATTTTACATTGTTCAAATAAAATTTAATCTCCAAGTGAGGGTTGAAAATTATCTATATTCACTACAATCGTATTTTTTTGCTAGCTTTGATTTGTTTTACTTATTTAATGTTGTATCACTATTTTGATGGCGCATATTATTTTGATTGGTTTTCCACATTATTTGATGGGAAGTTCATTCTATATAAAATGTGTCAAATTTGTAAGATAGTTTGAAATCTAAACACTTTGTTTTTAAGTAAAAGCTTTTAAATAAATTCTATCCGATATAATATCCTTTGACAATTCATGATAGCAATAAATATTGTCTATAAAAAACCCACCAACAAGTCCTACTGTATAGAATTGAGCACTAGTTGATTGATGTCCGTGCTTAAAGTAGCAAACAAATGCATTTGACGAAGTACTTCAAAACTGACTGCTCACTAAATTTTCCCCTAAAATGCGAAGGTAGGACGAATAGACATAACACGCATAATAACCAGTACGGCTACCACTGCCGACGGTGAACCAAATTCGGAGAAGAATCCCAACAAAATGAGAGTAATTATTAAGTCCCAATAAAAAATTGCATATCAACGAAAGAACTCGCAGCTCCGAGAGATATCACCACCCAGTCGAAAAATGTGCGACAGTAACCTCCACATTCCACAAGGAAAAAACTCAGCTCTGCTCAGAACCAGCATTTGACAGAAGAGAGGAAATAAGCTATGATTCCATGTCGATTAACTCATCCATGTACCTCTACTCTCGTTTTGCACACGACCGGCGCACGGAACTACATCCTCCCCACAACAGGGGCTCTTCTAATACTCTGCTCGGCTGTCTACGACGCCATGCACTTCTCTGAAACGGCCCAAACCATAATCCACGCAGACACTGGTGCTGAAAGCCCGCCACCCGAAAGCGCTCGATCCTGGTCTATCCACCGGCTTCTCTGCCCCACGCGCTTCCCTGGTGTGCGCCCGTTCACCGCGCCAAAATTGCACCGTCTTGGCTCAAAAAGCTCTCCACATGTAGATCACGCGGTGGGAGAAAACTCTTGCGGCTCACACCAGTTCTCGCTACCTGGCACGCGCACCAGGGTATTCCTACGGCACTAGCCTCTCACGTCCCCTACTTCTTCCCTTCCTTCACGTCCTCGTACTCGGCTTCCGCCGCTTGCCCACCGGCCGCTCCAGATCCGGAACTCCCTCCCGACTGGTTCTTCATCAAAGCCTCCCCGATCTTCATCGACGCTGTCTGAGCCGCGCTGGTCTTTGCTTTGATCTCCTCCACGTTCTCCGACTCCACCGACTGCTTCAAGTCGGCCAACGCTGATTGGACTCCATCCACCACGTCTTGCGGAAGCTTCTCCTTGTGCTCGTTCAAACTCTTCTCCACCGAATACATCGTCGTGTCCGCGTGGTTCTTCGCATCGATCAGCGCCTTCCTCTCCTGATCCTTCTGTGCGTACAGCTCCGCATCCTTCACCATCTTCTGGATGTCCGCCTCCGACAGGCCGCCCGAAGACTGGATCGTGATCGCCTGCTCCTTCCCTGTCGCCTTGTCGCGGGCGGACACGTTCACAATCCCGTTCGCGTCGATGTCGAACGTCACCTCGATCTGGGGCATGCCCCGAGGAGCCGGAGGAATGCCCACCAGGTCGAACTGCCCCAGCACCTTGTTGTCGGCTGCCATCTCGCGCTCGCCTTGCAAGACCTTCACGCCCACCTGCGTCTGGCCGTCCGCCGCCGTCGAAAACACTTGGCTCTTCTTTGTTGGTATTGTCGTGTTTCGGGTGATCAGACGAGTGAACACGCCTCCCAGCGTCTCGATACCCAACGACAGCGGTGTCACGTCCAAAAGAAGAATGTCCTTCACGTCCCCACGCAACACCCCACCTTGAATGGCGGCTCCCATCGCCACGCACTCATCGGGGTTCACCCCCTTGCTTGGCTCCTTGCTGAAGATGTTGTTCACGATCTCCTGGACCTTCGGCATCCTCGTCATTCCACCCACCAGCAGCACTTCGTCGACGTCCTTGGCGGTCAGACCTGCATCCTTCAGGCAGTCCCTGCAAGGCTGCTTCGTGCGCTCGATCAGGTGGTTCACCAACTGCTCGTACTTCGACCGCGTCAGCGTCACGTTCAAATGCTTCGCCCCGGACGCATCGGCTGTGATGAAAGGCAGGTTCAAATCGGTCTGCGGGGTAGATGACAGCTCCACCTTCGCTTTCTCAGCTGCCTCGCGAAGCCGCTGAAGCGCCATCCGGTCCGAAGAAAGATCGATGCCTTGCTCCTTCTTAAAATCATCCACCAGATGATGAAGGAGGGCATTGTCGAAGTCCTCTCCACCCAAGAAGGTGTCTCCGTTCGTGGCCTTCACCTGCCATTCCAGTTCCACCTCGCCATCCATCAGAACAATCACACAACAGCGACACAAACTCCTAACGACAACGATGCTGCCACAAAACGCAGCCCTCGCACCAGATCAACCTAAAATGCACCGCTCTTCTGTGAGCACGCAGACTCTCCACCTACCGAACTTGCGCCCACCGCGCAAAACGCACCATTCCAGATTCCCAGCAATTCCCGCAACATCGACAAAAACCACGACACCCGGAAATTCCCAAATGCAGAAGTCACCACCCTACCTCGAACACGCCACCAGAAATCTCCAGAATAGAAATGTCGAATGTTCCACCTCCCAAGTCGAACACCGCGACCAACCCTTCCTTGCGATCCATACCGTACGACAACGACGCAGCAGTCGGCTCGTTGATGATCCTCAGCACGTCCAGCCCTGCGATCCGTCCAGCGTCTTTCGTCGCCTGCCTCTGTGCGTCGTTGAAGTATGCCGGCACCGTGATCACTGCCTTGGACACCGGCCTGCCCAAGTACGACTCTGCAGTCTCCCGCATCTTGCCCAAAACGAAAGCTCCCACTTGACTCGGAGAATACTTCTGCCCCCCAGCCTCCACCCACGCATCTCCGTTCGGAGCTCGGACAATCTTGTACGGCACCATTTTCGCCTCCTTCTGAGTCTGGGGATCGTCAAAAGGACGCCCGATCAAGCGCTTGGTGCCGAACAGCGTGTTCGTTGGATTCGTCACGGCTTGTCGCTTAGCAGGAGTGCCAACCAGCCTCTCGCCCTTCGGCGTAAACGCGACCACGGATGGTGTCGTGCGAGCACCCTCGGAATTCTCAATCACGCGTGGCATCTGCTAGTTCCAATTCACAGACCAGCACACGTACCGAAAACCAACAAGAGTGCCATCAGACTCGGAATCCAACATACGCCTATCCAGCACAGGTCTCGAAATCACACGACCGGATCAACAACACGTCAACGCGAATTCTCACGCATGCTAATGCACTGTCTCCAAAATAACCGAAAAGATTCACTCTGAAACCAATTCTCCCACCCATCGCAGACCAACCCAACCCTAACTGGAAGAAGCAGAAAGAAAGGGGAAAAAAAGACTCACCTTGCCCTCCATCACGGCCACGCACGAGTTCGTGGTACCCAAATCAATACCGATGACATCGCTGCCCGCTCCCTTGGAGCTGTACAGAGCCCTCCCCGTCAACCGGTGCAACAGAGACGATCCATGCGCGGGAGGACAGGGAGCAGCAAGAGCCTGCGCCGATCGCTGCTGGAGCAACGACAAACTGCGACGCCATGGCACACGAGACGCCATTCCGCCTCAAACTCTCGCGAACAAACCTTGGCAGCGCCTATCCACGAAACGCAGAAGCCAACGCAACGCAGATTGGGGGGGATGCGTCAGGGGCAAATCTGCAATGGCATCGACAACCCGTCTGCCTGCGGCCTCGGGCTTGGGCTCAGGTCCAATTGGGGCGGATGACGAGACAACGATTGCGGGGGGGGGTAGCAGAGGAGGGGAGAGGGGGTTAGGGTTTTAGCCGAGGCGGGGCAGGCACTACGCGAACTGGCGAAGGGGAGCGCCGGTGGGAGGAGCCTTGGTCCTTCCTTCCTACTCACTCCTGCCTGACTGACTGACCGACCAACTGACTGCGGATGGCACCTTCCTCTTTCGGGGCCCCGCTCGGGAACCCCGACGTTCCACTCTCGTCTCGTGTTCCCCTGCTCGACGCCACCAAGGTTTGTTTGTTTGTTTGCTTGCGCTGCGCTGGATGTGAGCGAGGGAATTCACGGTCCGATTGAGCGGTGGTGGGTGGGGGGTTGTCTTGCGGGGCACGAAGTGCCCACCCCCGCGCATCGTCTTTCCCTCCCTCTTTCACCTTCTGTAATTATTGTGTGGGTTCGCATCCCCTGCAACCCCGCGGGCCTTGCGTTTCCCCCACGGATGTCCTTGTGGGTGTCGTTTTGGATGTGGCCGACACTGCCTGCACCTCCATGCCTGTGGGTTGATGATTAGCGATTTCAATATCTGGATCAATTTTGCTGTAATTTCCATTGAATTCCCCTGAACAACTTTTGGAGTAGGGACATCAGTTCATGTGCATCTGACCTACAATACTATACGATATGAGAATAAAAAAAATTTAAATGTATATATATATATATATATATATTTTCACATAGATGTAAAGAATTTGACCAGAACGGAAGGGATTCTTATTTAGAAGAGCAATGCAAGGGAGGTTATGAACTATGGTGTTTAGGTGGGTCGGAAAGATATTCTGTTTTGATTGTTCACCAAATTGTAGAAAATGAAAGATAAATAAAATACAACAAATTAATATTGTATTTGCAAGTTCAAGTTGTAAACATCCTCTCAAAGAATTCACCTTTCAAAGAATCTAGAGCTTGGGTTTCTTCTTGAATAGAAATTAGTTTAGACTATGATGCCGTTAAGTATTTAAGGAATTTTATCTTATAAATTTCACTCATGGGTACATAATTAGGTCTTTAGTACTTTGAAGCTTTTGCCAATTCAGAGTTTGATAATTTAGGTTATAATACTAATGTAATTTGAAATCATTTTTTTAGATAGAATCTATTAAATAGTTTGATTAAACTATTAATTAACTTTAAAGAGTTTTTTAAATGAATAGGAGGCTACGACCAATCAAAAATCTAATACTTCGTAATTAGGAAAATAATCCTAAAATGAAATTAATATAGATTGATAATCTACTTGAAAAAGTTTTTGTACAAGTTGTACCATAACTTACTATTAATTTCAAACAATTCCAACATAATTGACCTCTATGAAATAATTTTGTTTGATGGAGTTTTTGATATGAGAGAATTTTGGAGTGATTGCAATTACAAAGTGGGCTAAGACAAACCTACTTTATAATGTTAACATTTACCAAAGACAATAAGAATTTGATTTTATTTAAGTTTGTTACACATTTATATGACTCTTAATTAGTTACAACAACTAGTTGTTTGGTTTAGATGACTACTTTAATATTTTGTTTTGATATAATTTTTTTTTGATTGTTTGATTTGTTAAGTAAATTAGATATATTTGATTTGTTGTTAGTTGGTACTTGGACTCCAATTATGTATTATTTGGATCCTTCTTGTTCAAATCTATCTTTTATCATAACTTTATTAGTGTGGATATAAAGCATAGTTAATTGGGCCACACAATAGGAAGGTTTTGATTTTTTTTAATCAAATTTTGAACTTATTTATGTATAATTATTATCTTACTAATTATAGATTTACTATATGATATGATTCTTAATTGTAACAAATATTTATATCTTTAGCTCATTTTGTAACAATATATATATATATATATTACCTAAAATAAATATTAGTTGATTTTACTTTTTATTTTAATTTTATTATTAATAAGTATATGTACTTTCATTAAAATTATATTATAAAATATGTTCAAATCTATATTCTATTTTCTATTTTAAAAGATGTATTAACATGGTATAGTTTAAAATATTTTTTTAAGTATAATATTTTTATAATATAAATATTAGTAGAAAATTATAAAATTATATCTATATTTAAATATATTTTTATTAATGAGATTAAAAATAATCATATTCTATAAATTTTTAGATTGAATTTCTTGTGGCATTATTAAAATTTTAAAAATGGTGGTCTTTAATATCAAGCTTACAAGTAAATGTTTTTTTTTTTTTTTTTTTTTTAGTTTTAATATTAAAATATGATTTCAAAAATTATATTTTAGTTATTTATAATTATATACCTTTTTTTATAAATAAAAATTATACTTGCATTAATATCATAGACTTTGTAGTTAAGAATATTTTTAATAAAATTTAATAAGACATTATGATCAATATATATTTTTTAAAATATTTAATTTAAAAATGAAATTGATAAAATATTATTTAAATATAATTTTTATAAAACTTGAAGCTTTATCCATTATATATCAAAGATAGTAATAAGATTTGATTTCTTTGTTTTAAAATGATGACTAATCAACTTTGTGACATATTGGATTATCAAAGACTTTGCTCATTTTGTTATTAAAAAAATCAATTAATTTAATAAGATATTAATTAAAATTACTACTATTAATGAAGATCCATTATATATTCCATGTATCTCTTATCAAGCTTTATAGAACAATCAACATGTTGGAAAGAATGGAATTATTACTGGTTCATGTTGAAATATATAACAACTAAGAGTTTGAAGTAGACGAAATCTTGGATTCAAGGTTGTGCCAAAACTAATGGAATATCTTACACATTGGTATCAATATATTATAAGTGAATGCACATAAGAGCCATGTGAGAATCTAATAAATGTGTCAAAATGTTTCTTTGTTTTTTTATCAATTTCATCCATTGAAATTAAAGACTAATCTTTGAAAACAAGATAGTATAAATCAAGGAGAAACAAACTCAAGAAGAAAATTGTAGAATTTCATTGCAAATTTAAAGAATTAATAGCTAGCAAATTTATCTTAAGAGTTGTCATTTATAAAATTATCAAATGAAATATTTAAATTGCTTCAATCTAAATAACATTATAATTGTGATGAAAATCCTCAAAAAGATATGTTCTTTATTAAATAGATGGCAATATGTAATGTATTTGGTACAACAATTTTAGAAGAGACTCTCAATCTTTAGTGATATTATAGGAAGTGAATACCACATATAATAGAATATAGAATGTATAATTTGAAGATAGTTTTTAAGGCCTTAAAAATGATCAAATAAATATATAGACTTCTTATTTTAGTATATAAAATTATTGATGGTTCAAAGAACCTATCAACTATCTTTGGATAGAATAAAGATTAGAATTTGTTGCTAAAATTATTTTATAGATATTGGACTTCATCCACTTATGAAGCAATAATACAATTCTTTATAGAACTTGTGATTTAGAAGATAGAGTAATGTAATAGATAGTCATATTTATTTAGATAAGTAAAACTAATTTGAATTAGATGAAATCATTGATATCTTCTTTAGAAGCTTCTTAGAACCTATATTGACACATATATCTTCTTGAAAATACTAACATTGCTTCTTAAATGCTTTTCAACAAGATATATTAAAATACATAAATATATAATTAAAAATATTTATAAAATCTATTTTCAAATATATAAATATATGTAGAGGAATGATAAAGAAATCCAAATTTTTACTAAAGCAATTAATCCATCATCATAATCATGAAAAAATATTTACCTCTAAATTTAATTATTTACAATTTAATTTTCAATCAATGAAAAGAAAACATATTCATCTACAATCACGATAATCTAATCTTTATTGCTACAATCTACAATAATAGATATTGTAGTCTTTAATTATAAAATCCTAATTAATCATTTAAAAGAGAGAAGGACTTGCTATCCATATATTTCATTGTTTTTCTTTTGTTGAAATGAGGGCAAGGTTGGCCTCCCTTTCTTCTCTATTTTCAACCTTACTTTTGTTTTCAATGATTCTTGTTGCAAGTTGCAAGTTGCAAGTTGCATCTTGGTCTTAGCTAGTACTTTTGATTGAGAGCTTATATGTTACTAGTTAGACTTGATCCATGAATGAAAGTTCAATCTTCACTTCCTTGTCCTTATTCATATTCTATCACAGATATATATATATATATATATATTATAAATATTATCTAGATAATATAAATAAGTAGAAGTAGATAAAAGTAGATTAATTTCATAATATCTTTTAGAGAAGTTTCCTAAAAGCTTTGTAGATGATGCTTTGACTTTACATATATTTGTAGTATATTGGTAGGTTAGAAATTTGGTCAATAAATTAATCACATGCCACATGTATTAATAACTTGTAGAATAAGCTATCTATGTGGCATCCATATAAAAAACTTGCCTTGCAAGTTAAGATATGTATTGTACAAAGCCAATACATTTTAGAAGTTTTATAGAATGTTGTTACATAATTTTTAAATAGATAATATATTTAGAGGCAAAAATGAAGTATTCTTCATTCTTGTCAACTCTTTTCTTGCTTCTAGTCCAAGTTTAAGAAGTTTCTAATTTTCTAATATTTTGGCAATAGCTATTTTAGTTTCTTTTTAATATACATACTTCTTTAATTTTAATTTGTCATATTTCTTTGCAAAAGTTTCACTTATTTAATTACTTTCATTGAATTTTTATCCTTAATAAATTAACAAGAGTACTTTTATAATATCAAAGCTTTGTCTTTTCTTAATTAAGAGTTGATTATTCCTTTCTATTGATAAAGCATAAGCATGTTAAAATTTATAAATTATCTTCTTCTAAATTAATATTATTTTTAGTATTTTTTAATTTTCAATTTTTTTTTTTTTAATTTATCTTGAATAATATTAGATTTTTCTAAGTATTATTATGGTAGAACTTGCCAAAATAAAGAGTGCAATGGTACAAATACAAGAACAATTGAAGGAATTAATACTTGCGATGCATCAATTTCATTTATTACCACAAAGATGAAAAAGAATGAAAAAAAACAAAGATTTAAAGATGATTGGAGTTGCTTCAACATTTGCATCAAATCATATCATTTTTCTTATAGTGGGATACCATTCAAGTGCTAGAGAACTAAAAATTATCTTATTTAAGAAGTTTAATGGTACAAGGTCAAAGTTTTGAGGATTCATCAATCAAGTACAATT